CTTAACAATGGAGCCACATCCCCAGCCTGTTTTATATTTTATTTAGAGACATGGTCTCGCTGAGTGACTTAGGGTCTCCGTAAGTTTCTGAGGCTGGCTTTGAACTTGGGATCCTCCTGCCTCAGCCTCCCTCCAGAGCTGCTGGCTCTTGCTAGAAAACCTTGCTGTTCTTTGGTTCACCTTTTACATTTCAATTCCTCCTCGGTCTCAGAGGAACCCTGAATCCAGGCAACCCTCCCATTCCGAGGTTTCCACCCCCTACACTCCTCCTTCCGTCCTGTCTCCCCAGTCATTATCCCATCCTGTCCCGTGTCCACCCTACATGACACCAGAGTCCGTAAGATACCAGCCTGAGCCTGAGACTCCCTAACTAAGCCCCTTTCTATTGTCCTGAAGATGAAATCGAAAGCCTCCGGGCCGTGTTACAAGGTCCCGTGTGATAGGCACTTTGCTGACTTCTGCAATTCAATTTTTGGCAGGATTGCTTCCACAAAGAGCAGTGACCACTTGGCAGAACGATTCTGTCTAACAAACATGACAGTAATGACCATCATGACACAGCACCCAATCTTTGACAACCAGGGGTTTACAACTGCCTTGCACCAAGCCTCACCCTGTGAAGCAGACACAATATCATCCTTATTCTACAAGGAGAATCCTCGGGTAGGTATGTCAGCCAGCTCTTGCTGGGTAACACATTGCCCCCAAACTTAGCCGTCTACAACAACAGAGGCCCAGGGGCTCTCGTGACCCGGGGGTCCAGCTGCCCCATCATGGCTCTTGGTTGGAGGCCTCCGTTCCTCCTCACATGGGTGTGGTCTGAGCGTCTCCTCCAAAGGTGCACGTGTTGGAGGCTTGGTCCCTCTGGGCCAACGTGGAGGTGGTATTACCAATCGGCTGAGGGTTTTTTTTTTTTTTTTTTACTGGGATAGAAATTACGAACAGGCCAAGTGCATCTGCCTGAGTGACAGCAGCCCTGAGCCCTGAAGGCCAGTGGCCCTCGGCTCTCTGGAGCTCTTCAGCGCAGAGGCTGGGGAGTCCTGCGAGCTCTGCGTGGATCCCCACTGCTGCAGTCGCCCGCGGCAGTACTAGCTCTGCTGGCTCTTGGCAGGTCGGTGGCCTTGGCCTCACCAGCTCTCAGGACGGCCAGCTCCGCCTGCTGCGCTTGGGGCAGGAGTCCTGCGTGGGCCATGAAACTCATCTGAACAAGGATCCGTTGGCTTTTGCGGCAGCCCATGGGTGGGGTCCCAGAGGGACCCAGCGTGACTGAGAAGGCTGCTTGCTCCGTGGCGAGGAGGGGTGACCTGAGCACAGCACAGCCTCCCGCGGCCTTCCTGCTGAGTCGCGCCTGCCTGTCCCAGCAGTGGGCAGGGGAGGTGCCCCTCATGAACTGGATTGGGGACAGCTGGAGCGGATGCAGAGGGGAGAGTCGTGCAGAAAGCCTGTGGGGCAGAGTCACCTGGGATGGACCCAAAGCTGCTGCAGCCAAAGCAAAGCCTCCCTGAGCCACCCCGGGGCTTTGGGAGCAGCCACAGCTGTCAGGGATGGAGGAGGAGAAGTACTCTTGTCGGGCACTGGGCCCTTCTCTCCTGTCTCAGTTGGGCTTGTGAAAGGTGATTAGGTCTTGGGAGCTCACCTCAGGAGGGATTAATGCAGGACTTACAGGACTGAGTCAGTCCTTGTGAGAACAGTTTTTTTATAAAAAGAGCGAGCCTGGCCCTTCTCCACTTCTTGCTCTCTATCTTGCCACCTGACCTCTTCTGCACACATTTCCACCACCGTGATGATGTCCACCACGAGGCCCTCACTGAGCAGTACTAGCTCTTGGACCTCAGAACTGTGAGCCAGCTGAACCTCATTTCTTTATAAAGTCTCCCGTCTCAGCTAGTTGTTGTGGTAACACAAAATGAAGTAAGACCCCTGGGTCCCTCCACAGCTCTGCTCGACTGTTCTTACAACATGGCCCTGGCTTTTCCTCCTGGAAGGAGGGCGCAAGGAGGAAGCCACATGGCCGATTTCACCTAGGCTCAGTGGCCACACAGTGTCACATCTTCCTTTTTCTGTTCATTAGAGGTGAGTCAGCTTGAGTAAAGGATTGGTACAAATGCTTGAAAGGAGAGGTAATGAAGAATTTGTGGACATGTTTAAAACCATCACATTGATCTATCTGCCTTGAGGTCCGCACTCCTGGAGACATTTAAGCAGACATGTAGGAGGAAGCACACACAGTGCCTGGCAGACTCTCCAAAGAGGAGCCAGTGGGGCTGGTAATGGCGGGAGAGGGGAGGTGGGAGGAGCAGCCGCATCTGTGGCTTCTGCTGAGATGATGCTTATCTGGGGGACTCTTCTTCTTTAGTCTCCTTGTGACTATGTGGACATTGGGACCTTCCCCTTTGCTCAGCCTCAGACCATCAGAAGCATCTTAAAAAGACACGGAGCCGGGGGAACAGACGTCAGGGTGACGTTGGTCAAAGCCAGCAGGAGTGAGTTAGACAGGAGGGATGAGCTCCCCAGTCTGTGGTCTGTTGTTCAACAGGGTGACTGCACTTGACAGCCATGTGTTGTGCACTCGAAGACGGCTCAGAGGGAAGCTCTGACGGATCCTCGGCCCCACAAATAGTATGCAAGAGAGTCCGTGGACACGTTGCTTAACTCAATGCAGCTACTCCAAAACACAAGCACATTTAGGAGCACTCTGTCGTTCACCATGAATACAGTTATATAGTTGGCAGTTAAAAAAAAAGAAATAACAACAAAGAGATCTCTCATCTCCGTTCAAGGAAGGGAAAATTCCAGATAGACCAGGGCTGAGGACCCGCCAAGCCAGAGCAGGTGGTCTGCCCAGAGGAAGCAGAAGTGTGGAGAGTGGTGATCTAAACTGTGGCCTCTCTGACCATCTTGGCTGCGTTTATGCTGGGAGCTGCCTGTGTAAAGGTGCAGATCAAGATGCCCCAGTTGCTATGGTAACACTGACCAGGGGTGGCTACCTGGGAAGATGTGGCTCTACCAGTCGGGGCCTGAGTTCAGCATCTTCTCCCAGGGATGGGGAATTCTGAGCCAAAGAAGATGACCCTAATGTCTCACCATCCCGCGTCCTTCAGATTGCCTGCTTGACTGAAACTTTCCCACAGTGAACCTTCTGATGATGAACCTGTATAATAAACTGGCTGAGCTAGCTCGGAGTCAGGAAAGCCTCACCGGGTCTTGGCCACCACCTGCCCGGTCTTTTCTCCCTATGTGTGTCTGTCTGTCTTGTTAGCCCCCATTACCCCACGTCCACTATCTCTTAAATTAACGGCTGCAGTTCCAAGACGAGAGGCTTGTGGCACTTAAGGACCCCTGGAGCTGTGTGCGGAGGACAGGGTCCTCTCTCAGCGGGTAGCTTCCCTTCACGGCTCTTGTGTATTTGTATTTCTCCCTGCACCTTCTTTCCTGCTCAGCTTGATTGACTTCTGTACATTCCTCAGGCCTCAGCTTAGACATGAGCTCCTTTGGGAGGTCGTGTCCTTGATCCCAGCCTGGGTCAGACTGGATTCCCCACCTCTGGCTCCTCTCCAGCGAGTGTGGAGAACAAACCTGCCTCTCCCAGGTGTCGGGAGTGCGAGCCCCATGCATGCCCTCAGAGCAGTGCCACACTGATTTTTGAGCATGTACTATGTAGCCGCCCTCCCGGCCACAAGTTCAGCACTTTTCTGTGTGGATATGGCGTGGAGTTCATTCTCCAGAGTGTCTGTAAACCATGACGCAGCGCTTTGTCTCCTCCTCGGTGGAGTTATCTGTATTTTGATGCTGGCTGTTGCTGCAGCCTGACAGACAGGGTCCCTTCAAGTACAGACAGGAGTGGCTTTGTGATCACTGCTGTGCACAGAGCAAGAGGCGGCACACGAAGCCCAGCAGGACCTTCTTCCCCAGGGCTCTGCGTGGTCTCCCACCTCTTCTGTAGCTCGCAGCAGATGCTGAGCCCCCCAGGAGCCTAGAGAGCTCAGTCCCCTCTCACGGGACATCTCACAGTCTCGGGGTGTCATTCCTAGCCCGATGGCTGCCCCGGGCCAGGTGGCGCGAGCTGCTGCCTGCTGGAAGCCAGCCTCAGCCCAACGGCAGGCGGTGTGTGCCCCCAGCTTCTTCCCTCTTCTCTCTCTCTCTCTCTCTCTCTCTCTCTCTCTCTCTCTCTCTCTCTCTCTCTCCTTTGCGTGCTGGGGGCCACACCCAGGGCCCTTTCATGCCAGGCCAGTGCTTCACCACTGGGCCACACCCAGCCGCCCCCATGAGAGGACCATGGTTTGTGCTGCCTCTCGAAGCCCGGCTGGGTGGCTGGGTGGCGGTGACACGTCTGATAACACACCCCCTCTTTCCCCTCCTGTCTCACTCCCGTCTCTCCAGTTGGCATTTTGGGGGTCTCCTCTCTGCTTTCTCTATAATCCCTTTCTCAAGGCCTGAATCTGGGGTCCCTGACAATATACAACTAGCCCCCCCTATTTACAAGATGGCCCGAGTGTTGGGCTGGGGGATGGGAATTGTGTGGGGCTGTCGCTACACGGTGACCAGGGCCTGGGGAGCGGACGAAAGAAGGAATGGCCAAAGCTCTAGACTCTGGAGTCCGTGGGTCCTGGGTTCAAATCTTGGGTCTGGGTGGCCGTGGAGAAGTCGCGCCTCCTCTGCAGCCTCGGTTCCCCTGTGGGGGAGGGGAATCCCTGCTGTACCAGGTGGACGTGATGTTACAGTGGAATTCTGTTGCCCTGTGCCTCGGACGGAGCCCGTGGGCCTGATTCCAGGACTGCGTTGTGGCCCAGGCTGGGAACGAACAGAGCCTTAGGCTCGGGGTTTGCTTCCTCGGGGCAGGAGGTAGGAGCTTCTGTGCTGGGTGCCGTGCAAGGAGGTGGTGAGGGAGGGGAGAGAGAGATTGATGGGAAGAAAGAGAAAGGGAAAGGGGAGGAGAGGAAGTGGGGGAGGGAGAGACAAAGGAGAAAGGGGGGAGCACATCCTCCTGAGTTCAAGGGGAAATCAGCCACTTGCTGGCAGCAACTCAGCAGAAAGGCTGTGACGCTCGGGCAGGGTTGGGCAACCAGGGCCTGCCCTTCTCGTTTCCCCGAGAAGAGCTTTAACCAAGGGCTCCCTCCTGACGGGCAGAGCAGCAGCACCATGTGGAGAGTCGGGGTGCTCCTCTTCTGGGGTGAGTGTGGGATCCCTGGGGGAGAGGTGGTGGAGGTGGGGCTGGGAATGGTCGCGGGGAAACGGGAGGGCCCTGGTGGGCCCGGCAGAGCCAGGTGATTCCAGGATGGAATGCTGCAAACACCTTCGCTGGGGACCTTTGACAAAAATGCCCGGACCCAGGGAGTTCCGTCCTCAGGGTTGCTTGTGTGACATGAGTTTCCCGAGCAACTACTCTACAGCCCGGTGCTGCTGTGAGCACCAGGCACGCAGCAGCAGACCTGTGCTCCCACAGCTGAAGCACTGCTGGGGTGGGGACAGAAGAGTCACCAATAGTGACAGCAGGGATTCCAGGTTCGACAAACACAGGACACAGTCTCCACAAGACCCCCACGTTGTTGGGCCACCCTGTCAGCACCCCCCCCCTGCCCCATTACAAAGGGGGAAACTGGGGCAAAGGAGTGGGGACAACCTGCCCAAGACAGGGGCTTGCGAGGACGCCAGGGCAGGCCACCTGGAGCCAGATTTGCCACCAAGAGTCTGTGAGTGAAAGAATTCCAGGTAGTGGTAAGCTCCAGGAGAGGAGCTGTCACAAGAATGGGACTTTGAGGAATTCAGGAAGGACCTTTCCCAGACTGACATTTGTGCTGAGGCAGGAAACGTGACACCCCTCCCCTCCCGTCCCGGCTCTTGCTTCTCTGTCTTCAGGCGTCAGTCTGTCTTGCTCTTGCTCATCTTCGGTGTGGCTGTTTATCTTTGTATGACTTGCAAGATCTTTCCATGGGTTCACATTGAAGAATGGGGGACCTTTTCGAAACAGCAGTGTGGGTGTCCTCTGCTGGTGCCCACTGGATCTGTTCTCCTGGTTTATAGAGGAGGAAACTGAGGCAGGGACAGATTAAATGACCTTCCCAAGGCCACACAGTTAGCCTTCGGGGACCAAAATCTAAAACCCAAGCCCTTGGCCGCCAGTGTCTGCAGGTCTAAACACTATGCTCTGTGCCTCCAAGATGATTAACCAGCAAGAGAATTTGCATTAGGACAGTGGACGGGAATGTTGGGAGTCGGGGACGGTGGGGCTTGTCAACTGGAAGGCTTCTTCAGAAGGAGCAAGTGGCTTGCAGAACTCAAATGTGGGAAAGCAGGGCTGTCAGTCTGGGGAGTCGGTACCGGTATCTGCCATCAGCACCCCTTATTCTGAAGTTCATTAGTACAGACTTAGCATCATGACATTTTGATGTTGATGATGGTGGTGATGGTAATGCTCGTGAAGCTGACGATGGCAACGATGATGATGGTGGTGGTGATTGTGATGAAAATGTCAGTGGTGGTGCAGATGGTGGTGGGGATGGTTGTGGTGGTGGAGATGGTGGTCTTGGTGATGGAGATGGTATTGAGGATGGAGATGGTGGTGGTGGTGATAGAGATCATGGTGTCGGTGATGGGATGGTGATGGGTTGGAGATGGTGATGGTGATGGAGATGGTGGTGATGATGATGAAGATAGTAGTGGAGTAAGAGATGGTGTTGGTGATGGAGATGGTGGTGTTGGTGATGGAGATGGTATTGATGATGGAGATGGTGGTGTTGGTGATGGAGATGGTGGTGATGGTGATGGAGATGGTGGTGATGGTGATGGAGATGGTATTGGTGATGGAGATGGTATTGATGGTGATGGAGATGGTATTGGTGATGGAGATGGTATTGATGATGGAGATGGTGGTGTTGGTGATGAAGATGGTGGTGATGGTGATAGAGATGATATTGGTGATGGAGATATTGTTGGTGCTGGAGATGGTGGTGTTGGTGCTGGAGATAGTGTTGGTGATGGAGATGGTTTGGTGATGGAGATGGTATTGGTGATGGAGATGGTGGTGTTGGTGATGAAGATGGTGGTGGTGCACTATCTAGGTACTGCATAGCCACATTGCCTTCTGAATGCCTTTTAAAGTTAATTATGCTATCCTCCCAGGAAAATTTAATAGCACAGATAGACTATATGTGGTCTCTGTTTGTCTACATGTATATTTGTATGTATCTAAACATGAAAGAGTAAGGGTTGTTTTTTTTTTTTTTTAAATATGTTCTTGAGAAATGACTTTGATCCCTCATGGAGGAAGTATTACCTCCTCTTAGTTTGGTACTGGGGATTGAGCCCCTGAGCCACATCCCCAGCTCTTCTTTTGTTTTGAGATTTTGAGACAGGGTCTTGCTAGTTGCCTAGGGCCTCACTAAGTTGCTGAGACTGGCCTCAAGCTTGTGATCCTTCGGCCTCAGCCTCCCAAGTCTCTGGGGTGATAGGTGTCCCCACCACACCTGGCTGACATCACCCCTTCTGGGAGTGAATGTTTTGTGTAAGTTTCTGAAAACCCTGCTGGACTACTTTTATAATTAAAAAGAAGTGAAGATAGAAAAAAAAATTGCATCTCCCTCAGTTCCCTGGAGATTGCTGTTTTGAACTGATTTTCAGGCCTTTCTTTGGGGTCTGCTACTTAGGAATGCTGTGCTCCTTCGGAGGTGTCATGATTCCACCCTTTTTCATGTTTTCTGTGTCCCTTGGTTGATGTCTGTGCACCTCATGAAGCAGTCCTTCTTCTCAGGTTGTGGACTAAGGTCAGTCTAATGGACTTTCCCCTTTAGATGGGTCCTAGGGTGTTGGCTGGGTAGCATTCTTTGGCTTTGGGTCTGGGTGGGTGAAGTGGTCTAGTGTCCATTAGGTTCTTCAGCTGTGGTCAGTGTCAGTGGCGTCTGAGAGCCTCAGTGGCCAAGATGGAGTGTGGGGCACCTCCAAATGCACGCACCTTTAAGTCCTGACGCACCACGGGGATCTGGAAGACCACTGTGGTCTGGCCCAGTAGTGACATGACTCGTGACTCGGGCTCTTCCCTCGCTCGGGAAACAAGGTGTGGCCCTAGGAGTAGGCAGCACCCAGAGGGGTTGAGCTACACTCACCTGTTCCTTTGCAATCCAACCCCTTTGCTCTTTTGGGGATAGAATGTTCCATGGAAGCTCCCCTTGTGTGTTCCCTATATAAGAAGAAAGAATCCCAGTGGCTCTCTCTCTTTCCAAGGGCCCTTAAGGTCGTGGATTATTGAAAGGGTAATTCTGTGTGGTTGTGCGCTTTCTCTGTCGTTTTCTTGGGTTATTGGAAGAGTCAAAAAAATTTCTGAACTTGAAGACAGATCTTTTGAATAACTCTGTCAGACCCCCCCCCAAAAAAAAAATACTATGCAGCTTATGGGACATCATTATGTGAACAGACATTGGTATTTGGGGAGCTCAGAAGAAAAAAAATGATGGGAAAAGTCACAGAAAATGCATTTAAAGAAATAATAGCTGAAAAGTCCCAGTTCTTGGGAAATGTATGGACTTGCAGGTCTACAAAGCTCAAAGGTCCCCAGATAGACTCAGCCTACAGAGGTCTTTCCCGAGGCAACAGTCAAAGCCGGGGAGAGTTCTAAAGGCAGACGAGGGAAGCCTTAAGTCTTCTACAAGAGAATCCCCGTTGGACCCTCAGCAGATGGCTCGCCAGAAATGCCTTAGGCTGGGGGAGAAGGGAGGATATATTCTAATCTCTGAAAGGAAAAAGCAATCAGCTCAGAGAACCCAGCTCAGCAAAGCAGAAATGAAAGAGAAATAAATCCCTCCAAACAAGCGAAGGCCGAGGCTTCAGGGAGTGCTGTGACCGGGAGTGTCACCAGGACACGTGACGGTACAAAGCTCCCTGGTAGAGCCAGATCCCCAACTCGACCCAGCATCCACCAATAACCAAATGCTGGCCTATTGTGTTATTTTGTATGTTTCAAAACAACTAAAGAAGAGCATTTGACATGTCTCGGCAGAGGTGATCTGATCAGTACACGGTGTGCACGTGCATCAAACGCACGCCGCGGCCCACAGGTACGTGCTCTACCGTGTGTCAGTTAAAGCCAAACAAGACAGGCAGAGGCAAGGCGCTGTCAGGAGAGGCGCCCTGAGGGGCGTGGAGGGTGCTTGTCCTGAGTCGGACTCTCATCTGTTGGCTGACCCTGTTTCTGTGAGTCCAGCCCTGGGGCAACTCTGCAGGTTTTGGGGTTCACGGTGCTTTTCTTTCCCCTCTCCACAGGGCACTGTTTTACCCACAGCTGGGACATGACCACAGTGGAGCAAAAGACCACACTGAAGCACAAAAGTGGTACGTTGGCTGGAGGGAATCGGCACGCCCATGTGACTGGAGCCTGTTTCTGGGAGATCTTTTTGTCCCCAGGGGCTGAGCCTCATCTGGACCCTTTTGGGAAGTGAATCAGGGGCCTAAGGAGGGCTAATATGCAGATATCCAGATTTGGGCTCCAGGTTCTTTCTTTTGTGTCCTGAAATTGCTGTGTGACCTCAGGAAAGTCACATGACCTCTCAGTGTCTCAGGACAGGTAATGAGTTTCCTATCCCGAAGGGGGGCGTGAAGCTGCTCCTCCTGTAGGTACTTCCTAGACCACAGCGTCCTGAAAACTCTCAGTCCTCCAGTCCTGGCTCTTGACTTCTTTTTCTTTTTCACAGTTCTTTGCTTTCTAGACTACCGCGGTCTGTAATTCAGAGGTCTGCGTTACTGTTTGGCTGTTCCTCTACTTCCACTGAGATGAGCACCCGGGACAGTCAACTGATAAGGGAGGAGGAGGAGAGGAGGAGGAGGGAGAGGAGGAGGGGTGGGAGGAGGAGGAGAGGAGGGACTGTCCCGGGTGCTCGTCTTTTGGCTAGAGCTCTCAGCCCACGATTGGTTGGCCCTGGCTTTGGGCTGGTTGTGGCAACTCCTGGAGGGGTCCAGAAGTCGCTCAGCGCACGGCTGGGGGCAAAGGAGGAAAAGAGAAAGAGGAAGAGGCTGGGGTCTCAGAGTCCCCTTCAAGGGCACAGCCCCAGACACCCGAAGTCCTCCCTCCAGGCTCCACCTCCTCAAGTTCCCTCTCTCCCTCCTCCTCCTCCCTCTCTCCTTCTCCTCCTCCTTCCTCTCTTCCTCTCCTTCCTCTCCCTCCTCTCCACCTCCTCCTCCCTCTTCTCTTCCTCTCCCTCCTCCTCCTACCCCTCCTCCTCTCCCTCCTCCTCCTACCCCTCCTCCTCTCCCTCCTCCTCCTACCCCTCCTCCTCCTACCCCTCCTCCCACCCCTCCTCCTCTCCCTCCTCCTCCTCTCCCTCCTCCTCCTCCTCTCCTCCTCTCCCTCCTCCTCCTCCTCTCCTCCTCCTCTCCCTCCTCCTCCTCCTCTCCCTCCTCCTACCCCTCCTCCCACCCCTCCTCCTCTCCCTCCTCCTCCTCTCCCTCCTCCTCTCCCTCCTCCTCCCCCTCCTCCTCCCACCCCTCCTCCCCCCCCTCCCCCTCTCCCCTCCCCTCTGCTCCGGCCACACGGGCTCCCCTGTGAGGTGGGTCTGCCTCTCTTGCATCACTACAGTCGGCAGGCTCTAGAACAGTGCCTGATGCACCAGGAAGTGTGAGCGAGGGCTGCCCTCACTGGCTCTTCAGCCCCAGAGTGGGGACCAGAAAAGAGCTGTGTCCCAGCCTCAAAATGACCCCGCAGTCCTTGTCCTCCGGAAAAGTCTCTGTGGCCTCAGGCGGAGCAGAGAGGCCTGTTTTTCCTGTTTGCTGGCTCCGAGAGTTTGGCCTCATCCCAAGGAACCCTCGCAGCCCGCCCAAGGGGGATGCTGTTGACCAAGTGTCTGGCACCCTGGCCCGGCCAGCGGACACAGGGGGCTGTCCCTGTGCTCATGGGGTTTGAGCAGCGTGGCCGACTGCTCAGAGAGTGGCGGGTGCTTGGAGGGTGGACAAGGTTCTGTGCCCTGGGGCTGCAGCTCCGGGTTCCTGGGGGGCCTGGGAGGTCGGCTGCAGGGCTTTGCACCCTCACTTGAGGCGGACCCCTGTTAAGGCATCTCAGCGGCTCTGGGAAGAGGGTCCACGCTGCCCCTTCCATGGAGGAGAGTGCCTGGGACACCTCAGCAGCCCACCTAGCGAAGTCTTAGCTCTGAGCAGACACTGGCCCCTCTGGGTGCTGTTGGTCTCCCGGGCCTTTCAAAGCCCGCCAGAGTGGGCGCTGCACCGTGGGTCTCGATGAACAGTGGGGAGGAGTTCTCTCCCAGCAGGAGGAAGGCGGTTGGGGTCCCAGGACTGGAAACCCGGGTCCCTGTGGGCCTAGTCTCATTGTGGCAGGTGCCTCAAAGTAGTGTGTATGTGTGTGTGTGTGTGTGTGTGTGTGTGTGTGTGCGCGCGCGCGCGTGTGCACAGATGTGACCTATGTTGGGCTGGGAGAGCTTTGGATGGATTCACTTCAAAGCTTTGCTGGGTGTCCAGCTGAAGGGCAGGGTTTTGTGTCAGGCCAACTCCCCGCACCCTCTGTGCCGGCTGTGCCCTCTGTGGCCTTGCATTTTATGGAAGAAAGAGAAAATGAGTTAAGATTCTTCTTTAGGGTCTTTAAGGTAAAACGGTGGTGTGTTGTGGGCGTGGGTAGTAAGACCAAACCTAAACAGGGCAGGGATCAGGAAACTTACTATGTTTTTAACAATAAAAATCCTATGCTCTCTTTGATCTGGTAGGAATGGAGAACACACATCTTACAGTAAACTAAGGTGCAGAAAAAAGTTGGATAACTTAAACAATCTCCTGATTTGTGCCTTTGTTCCTTGGCTCTCTGAAACGTGCATTCGATCCAAGAGCTACTGTTCTTCTTTATTATGATGAACTTTAGACTTATCCAAACTTATTTTTCTAATCAAAGTTATTTATGCTTCATCTTTTTAAATGTGCACTGTTTCTGTACAATTTTTTTAAAGGGGTCCACTGGGTGGTCGGGAAGCTTTCCTGGGGGAGGAGGCTGTCACCTGGGTGGATGCAGTGGAGCTGCCCAGGCAACAGGGTGGAGTGGGCAGGGCCTCCTGGTAGCTGGGGCAGCGGGTGCAGAGGTCCGAGCTGGCCGGAGTTTGGAGGACTCAGTGAGCAGGGAAGGTCGACAGGTGCCCCGTGGCTCAGACTCCAGAGAGCATCAGTGGGAGCTTGCCCCAAGTCTGCAGAGAGAAGAGGAAGTTGGAAAGGAGAAGAGAGATACCATCTGAGGCCTCCTGCCCGGAGGGACATGAGCAGAGCAGGGTGGGTGTGGGCTCTGGAGATGGCGTGACAATCCAGGAGGGCGGGGTCACGGCAAAGAGGCCCTGCACCTCAGGTTTAGGGCTCCTCCAAGAGTTCTCCTAGCCCCAGCGGAGGCTGGCACCTCGTGGGCATCTCACCCATCTCCACGCCACTGACAAACCTCCTTGACATCGCCGTCAAACTGCATCCAGGATGCCCTGTTTCTCGCTGCTCCCTCCTGGGATGCAGCCACCAACATCGTCCACCAGGACAAGGACGGTCACCTCCTCCCCAGTCACTTGGCTTCTGTCCCTCTGGTTCATCTTCCAACCAGTGTCTGGAAGGATCATGTTAAAACCTAGGGCAGGCTGTGATCCTCCTCTGCTTGAACCCTCCCACGGCTCCCTTGACGAGGAGTCAAAGTCTTACCGTGCTCCTGCGGATCCCGCGTGATCTGACTGTCTCCTCGCTCTCCTCACCTCCTCCCACTCTCCTCACCTCCTCCCACTCTCCTCACCTCCTCCCACTCTCCTCACCTCCTCCCACTCCTCTCCTCAACTCTCTGCTCCTCTTCCCACTGGCCTTTTGATTTTTCTATGCAATCACAGGAGTGGTCTGCCCCAGGGCCTTTGCAGACCACTGTTCCTTTTGCCTCAAATAGCTTTGTAGTTCATGTCTTCAGGTTTTTGCTTGGACTTCACCCTCTGGGTCAAGCTGTTTGGGCTTCTCTGTTTAAAATTGTACCTCCTCCCACCCATTCTCACCATCTGCGTCTTTCCTTTAATTTTTCTCTATCTTCAGTCATCAGGTGATATGCTGTGACAGCTGTCATTTCCTGTTGATGTCCCCCTGCCTCCCTCCCACATGGACAAAAGCTCTACACTTGCAGAGACTTTCACTCAGGCCACACTTTTATTGAGACTCTGTTGGGCACCTCTATTGGAGATGGGACAGGGCGGCAGGCAGCCCTGCCTGGGAGCACATCCCAGCTCCCGGGGGCCACCCGTCCCGCTGCCTCTGTCCCTAGTGTTGCTACCTCCCTGATGTGGGTAGATCCTCCCATCCTCCCATGTGCCGCTGGTCAGGGTCAGGGCAGGGAGGGAGGGAGAGCAGGTACCTCACTGCTGCTGATCCTACCAGCCAGAGCACAGCTCCGTGGCCACCCCTCGCTGCCAGGGAAGAGAGCAGTGCCGTCTTCAGGTGGATGGATGTTCCACGGAAAGGAAGAGGGTGCAAAGGGTCCAGGAGAACGGCTGGCATCCTCTGCTCTGAGGTTCCTATTGGAACTTGAGCCAAGCCCCACCTCTCTCCCAAGCCTCCCCGTCGATGCATCCTCTCTGTACAGTGCTGGGGTGTTCACAGCATGGCTTGTGGCCAGCAACGTGGGCATCCTCCAGGAGCTTGGTATAATGCAGAGTCTCAGGTCTCCTTCTCCAAATCAGCTGGGTTAGCATCTGATTTTCTAAGATGTCCTGTGAGTTCAAGGTGAAGGAGATGCTGCTGGTCTGTGGACACCCTTGGAGTAGCCAAGTCCAGATGAGGGCTCACAGACTCCTCAGGGCTCTTGTTCAAATGCAGATTCTGACTTGGTAGACCTGGCGCGGGGCTTGAGGTCTTAGCAATTCCACCGAACTCCAAGATGATGCTCATGCTGCCGTCCCATGGACCACATATTGAGTAGCAAGGGCCTCGGGTCTTCAAGGTACAAACAAGCACAACCTGGACGGCTTACACAACAACAATTCACTCTCTCACAGTCCTGGGGGCTGAGACTGAAGCCCAGGTGTGTGAGGACCCTTCTCTGTGTGTGAAATCTGCGCTGCACCTTTGTCTTAGTTTCTGAGGTTGCTGGGAGTCCTTGGTGCTCCTTGGCTTGTAGACACATTGCCCCAATCTGCCTCCATCATCCCACACATTCTCCCTGAGCCTGTCTTGGAGTCTCTTGCCTCCTTACAAGGCATCACTTACACTGGACTTACCTACTCCCTACGATTGCATTCTTCATTTACATTTCCAGTTGCACCCACAAAGGTCCCATTTAAATAAGATCACATTCACAGGCACCAGGGTTCAGGGCTTCGTGTACCTCTTTGGATCACACTGAACTCACAATGGTCACTGCCCCCTTTTTGGGCTGAGGTCCCTGGAGGCTCCACTCTGCATTCTTATCTTATACAAACTCTTCTTTCCATGCTGCCTAGATGTGAATGAATGTGCGGACACCACCACGTGCCCAGCTTATGCAACCTGCACCAACACTGTGGGGAGTTACTACTGCACTTGCAAACAAGGCTTCCTGTCCAGCAATGGACAAAACCAATTCAGGGGCCCAGGAGTGGAATGCAAAGGTCAGTTTGCACCCCTGAAACCCTCCAACATTTGGTAGGAAAATCACATGGAAGCTGCTGAGTAGTGGATGCAAGGTCTTCCCTCATCAAAGATCCATACAGGATTTCCTCCCTCCCTCTCTCCCTCCCTTCTTCCCATTTTCCTCCCTCTCCCCTCCCCTCTGCACTGCCTCCCTTCCCTGCTCTCTCTTGCTCTGATTCCTGAACACTGTAGACATGAGGGCTGTTGGGCCTCCTCACAACATGGCGGCATGTTCCAAGACCATGTACCTCAGGGAACAAGGTGGAAGTGCATGGTGTGCTTGTGACCTAGCTTGGCATTTTTGTGACCTGGCATCTTTACCACCCTAGTGACATATGTGGGAGGGAGCACAGACCCACCCTTGGTGGAAGAAGGCCATGTCACACTGATGGAGGAGCCTGTGGGATGGGGGATTCTTTCAACCATCTTTGAAAAATGGCATCTGCTACCCAGGATGGGGCAAATTTGTCATGCTGGTTCTTTTTCTGTCCAGATGTTGATGAATGTACTGAGAGCCCCCCACGCTGTGGTCCTCACTCAGCCTGCAAGAACATGCTTGGGAGATACAGGTGCAGCTGCCTTCCTGGCTTCTCTTCTCCCACTGGAGACTGGGTCCCGGGAAGGCCAGGCACTTTCTCTTGCAGAGGTAACTCCTTCAGGCCCTCTGTCATGGGCCTTGGTGGGCATCTACCACTGGGATGAGTATGTGCATCCTTGGACTCTTTGGTTCACGGACTGTCCCCTCTTCCTTGCAGACATTGATGAGTGCCTCACCAGTGGGATCTGCCCTGAGCATTCTACCTGTGTCAACTCTGTGGGGAGCTACCATTGCAGCTGCCAAGCTGGATTCTTCTCCAATGGCTCCACCTGTGAAGGTACAGAGGGTCTGGTTATATCATTGGTCTACTTGATTCAATAGGGGTCTCCTCATTGGCAGTCCCACACATTCTCCGTGAGCCTGTCTTGGAGTCTCTTCCCTCCTTACAAGGCACCACTTACACTGGATTGAGGGTCTGCCCTACTCCCTACGATTGTATTCTTCATTTACATTTCAGTTGCATCCACAAAGGTCCAATTTAAATAAGATCACATTCACAGGCACCAGGGTACAGGGCTTTGTGTACCTCTTTGGATCACACTGAACTCACAATGGTCACTGCCCCTGTTTGTGCTGCGGTCCCTGGAGGCTCCACTCTGCATTCTTATCTTGTCCAAACTCTTCTTTCCATGCTGCCTAGATGTGAATGAGTGTGCGGACACCACCACGTGCCCAGCTTATGCAACCTGCACCAACACTGTGGGGAGTTACTACTGCACTTGCAAACAAGGCTTCCTGTCCAGCAATGGACAAAACCAATTCAGGGGCCCAGGAGTGGAATGTGAAGGTCAGTTTGCACCCTTGAAACCCTCCAGGATTTGGTAGGAAAATCACATGGAAGCTGCTGAGTAGTGGATGCAAGGTCTTCCCTCATCAAAGATCCAAACAGGATTTCTTCCCTCCTTCTCTCCCTCCCTTCTTCCCATTTTCCTCCCTCTCCCCTCCCCTCTGCACTGCCTCCCTTCCCTGCTCTCTCTTGCTCTGATTCCTGAACACTGTAGACATGAGGGCTGTTGGGCCTCCTCACAACATGGCGGCATGTTCCAAGTCCTTGCACCTCAGGGAACAAGGTGGAAGTGCATGGTGTGCTTGTGACCTAGCTTGGCATTTTTGTGACCTGGCATCTTTGCCACCCTAGTGACATATGTGGGAGGGAGCACAGACCCACCCTTGGTGGAAGAAGGCCATGTCACACTGATGGAGGAGCCTGTGGGTTGGGGGATTCTTTCAACCATCTTTGAAAAATGGCATCTGCTACCCAGGATGGGGCAAATTTGTCACGCTGGTTCTTTTTCTGTCCAGATGTTGATGAATGTACTGAGAGCCCCCCACGCTGTGGTCCTCACTCAGTCTGCAAGAATGTGCTTGGGAGGTACAGGTGCAGCTGCCTTCCAGGCTTCTCTTCTCCCACTGGAGACTGGGTCCCGGGAAGGCCAGGCACTTTCTCTTGCAGAGGTAACTCCTTCGGGCCCTCCGCCATGGGCCTTGGTGGGCATCTACCACTGGGATGAGTATGTGCATTCTTGGACTCTCTGGTTCACGGACTGTCCCCCCTTCCTTGCAGACATTGATGAGTGCCTCACCAGTGGGATCTGCCCTGAGCATTCTACCTGTGTCAACTCTGTGGGGAGCTACCATTGCAGCTGCCAAGCTGGATTCTTCTCCAATGGCTCCACCTGTGAAGGTACAGAGGGTCTGGTTATATCATTGGTCTACTTGATTCAATAGGGGTCTCCTCATTCGCAGTCCCACACATTCTCCATGAGCCTGTCTTGGAGTCTCTTCCCTCCTTACAAGGCACCACTTACACTGGATTGAGGGTCTGCCCTACTCCCTATGATTGTATTCTTCATTTACATTTCAGTTGCATCCACAAAGGTCCCATTTAAATAAGATCACATTCACAGGCACCAGGGTACAGGGCTTTGTGTACCTCTTTGGATCACACTGAACTCACAATGGTCACTGCCCCTGTTTGTGCTGCGGTCCCTGGAGGCTCCACTCTGCATTCTTATCTTGTCCAAACTCTTCTTTCCATGCTGCCTAGATGTGAATGAGTGTGCGGACACCACCACGTGCCCAGCTTATGCAACCTGCACCAACACTGTGGGGAGTTACTACTGCACTTGCAAACAAGGTTTCCTGTCCAGCAATGGACAAAACCAATTCACGGGCCCAGGAGTGGAATGCAAAGGTCAGTTTGCACCCCTGAAACCCTCCAACATTTGGTAGGAAAATGCTGCTGAGTAGTGGATGCAAGATCTTCCCTCATCAAAGATCCAAACAGGATTACCTCCCTCCCTTCTTCCCATTTTCCTCCCTCTCCCCTCCCCTCTGCATTGCCTCCCTTCCCTGCTCTCTCTTGCTCTGATTCCTGAACACTGTAGACATGAGGGCTGTTGGGCCTCCTCACAACATGGCGGCATGTTCCAAGTCCTTGCACCTCAGGGAACAAGGTGGAAGTGCATGGTGTGCTTGTGACCTAGCTTGGCATTTTTGTGACCTGGCATCTTTGCCACCCTAGTGACATATGTGGGAGGGAGCACAGACCCACCCTTGGTGGAAGAAGGCCATGTCACACTGATGGAGGAGCCTGTGGGTTGGGGGATTCTTTCAACCATCTTTGAAAAATGGCATCTGCTACCCAGGATGGGGCAAATTTGTCATGCTGGTTCTTTTTCTGTCCAGATGTTGATGAATGTACTGAGAGCCCCCCACGCTGTGGTCCTCACTCAGTCTGCAAGAATGTGCTTGGGAGGTACAGGTGCAGCTGCCTTCCTGGCTTCTCTTCTCCCACTGGAGACTGGGTCCCGGGAAGGCCAGGCACTTTCTCTTGCAGAGGTAACTCCTTCGGGCCCTCCGCCATGGGCCTTGGTGGGCATCTACCACTGGGATGAGTATGTGCATTCTTGGACTCTCTGGTTCACGGACTGTCCCCCCTTCCTTGCAGACATTGATGAGTGCCTCACCAGTGGGATCTGCCCTGAGCATTCTACCTGTGTCAACTCTGTGGGGAGCTACCATTGCAGCTGCCAAGCTGGATTCTTCTCCAATGGCTCCACCTGTGAAGGTACAGAGGGCCTGGTTATATCTTTGGACTACCTGATTCAGTAGGGGTCTCCTTACTGGAAGACCACATGAGAATGGGATCATGACCCATGTGATGGGGAAGAGAGCATTGGGGCTCAGAGAGGTGTAGTGATTTTCTAAGGGTGCACAGCCTTGTGGTGGATGAGCTGGGTCTGAACTCCTGTTGAGGGCCAACACGGGTCAAGCCATGGGATAGGTTGTGCTTGACATTAGTGAGGAACTCTTGTCCCTAGAGTGACTTTTTTCCCCGAACGGGAGGCTGGCAATGTCCAGAGGCACTCTGGATGGTCACAGGTGGAGGTGTGTGGTACTGGCAGCATGGCACAGGTAGAGGAGCTGCTAGGATTTCCACCATGCACAGAGCAGCCCCACAACCAGGATGCCAGGGCCCCCCACAGGCCCTCCCCAGTGAGTGCCCAGACCCAGACTTCAGAGCTTCCCCCAGAGGCACTTTTGGTCAGCCTTGGGGTCACCCTTGGTCCGTCACTGCAGCTTGGGGAATCTGCCTGTGGAGCCACCATGGGTTCTGCCCCGTCTTGGGTTCAGTTCCTCATGGCTGCAGCAGCTCCCTGTGATTCTTCCCCTTTCTCCAGTTTTGTCCTCTCAAATCCACCTTCCATGCCAGAATATTCTCACCAAGAGATAATGGCTCTGCCTTCCAGTGTCCAGGGTGACGCTGCTCTTCTCCATGGTCCTTGTAGGGATGGAGACTCCGTGGAGCAGGGCCTGGCACCACCTGGCCTGCCTCAGACCCCCTGGCTTAGCTTAAGAGGCATCTGAAGGCACATCTGCCTTTCCTAGTCCATTTGTAGCAGTTAGTTATAGCTGAGGAACAAATTTCCCTACAAGATAGTGACCACCAGGGATGACGCTTCGTTTAGTTCTCGATCCTATTATGGGCTGGCCGTTTAGGTTGGGCCATTCTGGTTAGTTTCCAACTCAGCGTGCTCCCCTGTGTGTGTGGCCACCCAACACTGCTGACATTTGAGGCTGGACATTTTGTTGTTGTGGGGGACTGTCTCGTGCACAGTTGGGTATGTGGCTGCATCTTTGGCCTCTCCTTGCTGGATTCCTTAACACTCTCCCACCCTCATATCACGGCAGCCAAAAATGTCTCCAGACTTTGCCCAGTGTTCCCGGGGTAGGGGGCGGTTGCCCCCAGTCCAGTACCACGGGCTGAACTTAGTAGAGATTTCCTACCCTCCGACAGCCAATATGGGTACGTCTGGCCAGTGGGTAGCTTTCTGTCACTTGGTGGTAAAGGGACTGTCTCCTTCCATCTTTTGGTCTTTCTATCCCTTGGGGCCTTGGGGTCCCAGCCCGTGAAGGTCAGAGAGAGCAGAAGCCACACTCACTTCTTAACTATCTTGACTCAGAAGTGACATGGAAGTCCCCTCTGACATTTCAGGAGTGAGGACCCGTCTCATGGCTTCATTCTGTAGTCCCTGGCTGGTTCTACATTCCAGGAGGACTCTGTGCAGCCCTGTTTCTGTCAACAGTGGATTGTACATTTGATGGGGGTCCCATGAGATCATAGCAGAGCCCCCACAGTCCTCCTGCTTAGCAGTGTTGTAGTTGTCACAGTTCAACGCGTTGGTGCGACTTCTGCGTGTGTGGTGACGTTGGCGTGACACACTGTGCATTCCACCACACACAAGCATAGCCCACGTGACTGTACACGGTACGTGATACTCAATAATGATAATAAATGACCTTGTTACTGGTTTGTGTATTTACCATACGGTACTTTTCATCATTATTCTAGAGGTGCTACAGCTTATGAAAAGACATTTACTGTAAACAGATGCGTGAGCCTTGTCATCTGTGCTTCCTGTGTCTCTTGACTGTGTGGAGAGGCCACACCAAGGGGTCGAGGCACTCTGATTTCCACACAAGATGAAACCACCCAACGATCCACGTGTGGGGACGTGTATTAGATATGGAAAATGACAACCCCCCCAAAGTCGTGAGACCCGGGGAAAGGGGAGTGAGAAGGAGAGCCGTACAGTGAGAACATTGATCCTTTCCCAATACATTCTTCCCCGGTGATAAAACAAACCCTGAGGAAGAGGTGTCCATCACACCTGGAAAGGCAGCCTCTGGGAGAGACCGAAGCAAAATCCTTCCATAAACAAATCCTTTCCAGATACCAACCACTGACCCCAGGCCCTCCATCAGGTCCAGTAAGATAAATCCCAGAAACTGACCACTGACCTAGACTCCCTCCCATTTTGCCCCATAAAACCGACCCTAAATTCCTAAGCACTAAAACTGACCCCTTCACTGGTTGATAGAACAATCTCCAAATTCCTGGGTGCCTGAAGAAAATTGACATGCTCCCTAGACCACCCTCAGGGTAACCTAGACAAGCCCAGGCCCTTTCTTTTCCACCAGGAAAAGTGGGTCCCACCACGGTGTCATTTCGTCCCTGTCTCCCCTGCTCCTGTGTGAACCTTCGTTCCTGAATAAAGCGCTGAGCTGATTTGTGAAGTGTGCGTTCCTCCAGGTCTTTCTGTGCTAACAACGTGTCCCCGTGGGTAGGTGACCCATGATGCTTTGTTGGACCTTTGCACAACCCTGCTTCACACCCGCTCTCTACCTCACAGACATTGACGAGTGTGTTGACATGTGCCCCTTACGTTCCGACTGCACCAACACTCCCGGCAGCTACTCTTGCACCTGCCACCCTGGCTTTGCACCAAGCCATGGTCAACGGCACTTCAGAGGCCAAGGAGTGGAGTGCAGGGGTGAGCAGGGCTTGCCAGACAGCCCGGGAGGCAGCTCCTCCTTGTTCCTCCGAGTTTCTTGATGGCCCTGAACTCTTGCAGATGTTGACGAATGCTCCCAGGACCCACCACCGTGTGGCCCCAACGCAGTCTGCACCAACACCCCAGGCTCCTACGGCTGCCGCTGCACCGCGGGCTTTCGTCCCCACCACGAAGGTTCCCAGACGCACGGCAACTTCAGCTGCAAACGTAAGACCTCCTTGTGTGACGGCCACAGGGAGGGTCTGTGCTGTTGGGGCTTTGGTTGTAAACTCCTCGCTCTGCTCAACCTGGGGACCCTCCTTTCACTTTCATCTTACCACCCACTCTTTTGAATTAATTCATTCATTCATTCCTGAGTTCACTCATTCCATACGTTATGTTTGGATCAACTACTGTTTACTAAACTTCCCGGCGCCCTGGGCTCCGGGCTGAGCATTCCATCCTGGATTCGCTGGGTCTGATCCCTGCTCTTGTGTGGTTTATGGTCCAGGGAAGGAGCCAGAGGTCACACGGCTAGTGATTGACAGTAACTGTGACGAATGCAACTGAGAAATCACAGTGTGCTTGGAGGTGACTGAGGGGATTGTTCATGTGCCCTGAGCCAGGGGACTTAACAGCCACCTGGAGGAGGCACAGGGTGCTGCCGAGGAGCAGTGGAGAAGCAGTGTTCTGGGGGACGGCAGGCGCAAGTCTCCTAGGCTCAGGCTGACTGAGAGAGGGCAGAGGTGGGGCATCAGGTGTACCTGACCGGGCAGGCAGAAGCCTGATTGCAAACAGCTGGGAGATTTTCCACCCCCAAGAACAACAGGGAACCAGGGAGGGCTGAACATTTTTAAATGATGGATTTTTTGAGACACTACAAACACATGTAAGCTGGGCATGGTGGCACACGCCTGTAATCCCAGTGGCTCAGGAGGCTGAGGCAGGAGGCTCTGGAGTTCAAAGCCAGCCTCAGCAACTTAGCGAGTCCCTGAGAAATTCAGTGAGACCCTGTCTCTAAATAAAATACAAAATAGGGCTGGGGATGTGGCTCAGTGGTTGAGTGCCCCTGAGTTCAATCGTTAGTACCAAACAAAAAACAAAAAGCAAAAAAACTCCAAACCAACCACAAACAAACACACGTAGCTTTTATTGTGTGTGCGGTGCTGGGGATTGACCCTAGGGCTGTGAGCATGAGCCGGGCCGGGACTCCATGACTAAGCTACCCCCCAGCCCTGGATAGATGAACTTAAATGAAGTATAATAACAAGACAACGCACCTGAGGCCCCTTCCATGTCCGAACGGGAACATCATGGACTCCACTGTATCCCTGGAAGGCTCCTTCCCCATGCTCTTCTGTCCTCTCCTTGGGCCACCTGGAATTCTGTGTCCATTCCTCCCTCTCTGGGCGTCTGCCTCCCACCAACAGCTTGCTCATTTCTGCCTGGTTTGGAGTTTTATAGAGATGGTGCCGCACTCGGCCATGTCCTCTCTGCCTCTCTTCAAGCTTCCTGGAGTCCTCGTGCTGCAGCGTGGCTGCCATCTGCTCATCCTCCTGCCGTGTGTCTCGGGTGGATTTTAAACAGGGGGGTAGTGACATTGGACCTGCTTTTATTCACGATCGCAGTTCCACTTGGCTGCTCTTGTCTTTGTCCCAGGGATTCTCTTCAAATGTAAGGAAGACATGATACCCCATAATAAGCAGGCCCAGCAGTGCCAAGCGGGGGCTCCAGTGGAGCTGGAGTATGTAAGTATGGCTGAAGGTACTAGCTCTTGACGTTTTCCCAGAAGCCTCTTAGGTAGGACGTAGTTTTATCAGTCTTCACAGAGGCAAAAATTACAGTGGCCTAAACCAAGGAGCAGTTCCTGTTTCTCCTCTGTGAAAACGTGAGTGTCAGCGTTGGAGAGCCGATAACAGTGTCCACCGTGCTCTGTCACGGTCAACACAAGTCTCATTTTGTGGTCCAAGATAGCTACCCTGGCTCCTGCTATCACATATGCTTTTTAGATGATAAGGGGAAAAGGGGAAGTGAAACGTGAAGTCCCTCTCTTTAAGAGCAGGCCTCATGACTGTAAGGGAAGGGGAAGGAAATTAAGAAAGAAGGGTTAAGAAAGGGTAACAGGGAGGGAGGATACCATCGGACTCCGTGTGAGCTTGTGGATTCAATTAATAATTAATCATTAGTTAATTAATGGAATAATTGTGCATGTTAATGGGGTAATTATTGCAGGATATTTCAATACAAGCACAGGGTGTGCACTGATCAAATCAGGACTATTTGCACTTCCTTGTCCTGGTCGTTGGCTGGAGGCTTGTCTGTCCCTCAAGCAGTTCATGATCTGTAGCAGGTTCTTGTGAGCTATGGCCACCCACGCTGCTGCCGAGCCCGGAGCCCGTTCCTCTTCTCTGGGGGTGGACTGTAAGGCTCACAGGAGCTTTTCCTTCTGCGGACACAGCTCCCCTTTTGTGCCCTGATGAACGACACCTTCCGCGTGCTGGACAAGACCTGTGAGAACAAATCTGCGGCGTCCCTGCAGGTAACCGCGCGTCTTTCTAATGGAGCTTGAGTTTTGAGCATCTGGGGGAGGCTCTGCCTAGAGAGGGCCTCGTTATCATCACTGGGTTGTGAGTTAACCTCTCGTTAAAGATTAACATGCGGACATTTGAAAATAAGCGTATAGTCAACTTACCTCTTTATTTTGGGGGGGGGTGTACACTTCTGTGAGCTTAATTACTGACTAGATTTGTGGGCTCCCACGAATCGGGGTGCAGCCCGGCTTCATTTCCTCCAGGCATGGCCCTCAGTCTTCCTCTTCTAGTTAGGTGCTTCCTCCCTGGACAACCCCTGTGGTCCCCATCTATTCTCTCTCATGGTTGCTTTGTCTTCTTGAGAATGTCAAATAATTCGGATCATACAGTAAGCGACACTGGGAGACTGGTTTTTTTTTTTAATTTTTTGGGGGTACTGGGATTGAACCCAGGGGTACTCACCCACTGAGCCACACCCCCAGCCCTATTTTGTATTTTATTTAGAGACAGGGTCTCAAGAGTTGCTTAGTGCCTTGCCTTGCTGTTGCTGAGGCTATTTTTGAACTCACAATCCTCCTGCCTCAGCCTCCTGAGCTGCTGGGATTACAGGCGTGCCCCATGCCCGGCTGGAGACTGGCTTTCCCCCACTAAGCATCACGCACTTAAGATTGGTCCTTGCTCAGAGACTTCCTGAGAGTGGCACCTGTGCCTGTCCTGTGTCTGGCTTGTCTCTCTGAGCTCCATGCCCTTGGGTGCACTCTCGTGGTGGGGGTACCAGCTCTTCTCCTCCAGGCTGCTGTCTGAGGTTCCTTCTTGTGAGCGTGCCACACTTTGCTCATCCACTCATGTTTGAAAGACATCTGAGCTGTTTCCAGCTTCTGTGGTCTGAGGGTGGGGCTGCTGTAGTGGGAGTTGCTAGACCGCTACAGCCGTGGGGAGCCAAGTCTGGTTTTTCTTCACCTCCAAGCGGGACTTAAGGGTGTTGTTATTTTATTTGTAAATCTGGTTATTTTTGTAGAAAAATGAGAATAACATTTTTATTTGTAACTGGATCCATTGAAAATTAATTCAGCATATTTATTCATCCATTCACAGTGTACATCCATTCACAGGGTTTTCAGACTAAATTTGTACAGATGATTAACATTGTTTGCTAACTTGGATAGATTGCCTTGAGCATTTTATTCTACATTTACATATAGTTTTATTTCCACCCCCCCCCCCAATTTCAAGTATCAGGAGGGAGATTTAGAAATCTGACGAGCAAGGTCACTAGGGCCCTTTGGTGACTCAAGAAGTCAATCAATGGAACCTACAATAATGCAGATTCTCCCAAGCAGCCTGTTCTTGGAAGCTGCTCATGTTACAGGCTGGGGCTGGGGCTGGGGCTCAGTGGTAGAGCGCTTGCCTAGCAAGTGTGAGGCACTGGGTTCGATCCTCAGCACCACATAAAAATAAACAGATATAAAATTATTGTATTTTATAATAAAGATATATTTCCATCTACAACTAAATAAATAAATAAAAATTAAAAACAACCCTCATTTACATTTTGCCGTGAAATCACATGGCTAATTGGTTAGCTTCTCTAATGTGACAACTTGTTGCAAACCCTTGATATAACTATAGTCAGATTTTGCTAAAGAATTCAAAACCTGAGTTTAACACAAAAGAATTTCCCCTGAGGATCTGTAGTTTGCCTAAGTGTGTTTTCTTTCCAGAATGTATGAAATAACTCTTTTGGCTAAGAACAGGGCTTGTGGGCTCTCCTCAGCCATGGAATTGGGAAGCTCGCACTCTCCAGTGCCTGGGGTGCAGGTTGTGCAGTGGTGTGGTGGGTGTGGGGCGGGGCGGGAAGGAGGGCAAGTGGCAGGGCTTGAGGCTCCTGCTTCTCAAGTCCCACCGGAACCCGTTGGAGCTGGAAACCTTTTTTTTTGTAATTTTTAGCATATAATTTGGATAGACAGAAATTTGTGCCCAGAGTCGGATTTCTGTTGAATTTCCTTCACCATCTTACTGAATTCGATTCATTTCCCCCCCTGCATTTATTAAATTCTGAATTATTTTCATACTTTTTTTGGCTTGGGTCACTTAAAACACATCACTTATAAAATATTATGATTTTATACTCTAATTGTATAGATATTATAATTATATACTTAAAGTAATACTTGGATCATGGTAAGTGAGAGTTTTTATTTGCATGTGCCAGAAGCATAAATACCACGAACACCAAGTTTTCGATGGAAGTAGCTGTTTCTGGAGCCCGCGAGGCAGCCTACACGTGCTGGTCTGCGGCTTCCTTGGTGATAGTCAGGGACCTGGGTGCCTCTGCGGGCAGGTCCACGGCGCGGTGCCTGTTGGCAGCGGCATGCTGTCCCGGGACTGGACCTCGTCTTCACTTACTCAACAGTATGTCGGGCATTTAAGATTTCTAGCAATCGTTTTGAAATTGACGTCTTTCGAGGAGACCCGGCCCAGTTTTCAGGTTCTTCTGCAGGGATCCACTGCTGGAAGGGAAGGTGCCTGTCGCCGAGCCGCGCGGCGGGCGCTGTCCCGGGTGCTGACTCGCCCTGCGAGGGCGACGCTGGAAGTCAGGACCGGGCGGGGCTTTTTGCTCTCCCTGGCTCTGCGCTGGTCTCCTGGTGACAGGGTGCTGCTGGTGTTTAAAAAAGGAAGTGCACGTCCCAGGCAGAGCGCAAGCCAGCAGCCCCAGAGACAGTGATTTGTCCAACGGCGAGAGTGGGTGGGGCCCGAGTTGGGGTGAGGCCTGTGCAGCTCTGCTGCGGGAGGAGGAGGTCAGCCGCACCCCGCTCCCGGGTGGCCCGCAGCAGGCCAGGCGGGCGGGCGAGGATGCGCCAGCCCTCAGGGCCCATTCCCACCACCAGTGCCCTGTTCCCACCTGGAGCACTAGACGGTGCCCTGCCGCGCTCTCCGCTCTCCTCCTGCCAGTTTCCTCCTCTGCCCTGGGGCGGCTGCGCTTCCCCTGTGTCGCTGTCTTGGAAACATCTAGTTGGTCCACATAGGAGCGGAAACACCGGGGCCTGGACACTGTATATGACTGCAGCCCCGAGTTGCGTTTCCAAAGGGCGCCCCGCGTAATGCCTAACTCAGGTGAAGCTGTCCTTTCTTGATGGTGAAAGTTCAAACCCTTTCTTCCAGTCTCTTGAAATGAACAACATATTACCGTCACCTCTCGTCACCCTAGCGTGCAGTGGCACCCCAGAACTCCTTGCTCCTATTAACTGTAACTTAGTCCCCCCCAACCAGCATTTCCTCACCCTTCCTCTGACTCTGCCCTCCCGGTTTCTAGAAACTACCATTCCACCCAAGAAAGCTGTTATTAATGAGAAATGAGGGGAGAGAAGAGGAGAAGAGAGGGGAAGAAAAGGAGGAGGGAGGGGAGGAGGAGGTGAAAGGGGGAGGAAAGGGAGGAGAGAGGTGAAAGGGAAGACACAGGGGAGGAGGGGGGAGGAGAAGGAGAGGAGGAGGGGAGGAGGAGTGGAGGAGGAGGAGGAGTGGAGGAGGAAGGGAGGAGGGGAGGAGGAGGAGGGGAGGAGGGGAGGAGGGGAGGAGGGGAGGAGGAGTGGAGGAGGAAGCGAAGAGGGGAGGAGGAGGAGTGGAGGAGGAGGAGGAGTGGAGGAGGAAGGGAGGAGGGGAGGAAGAGGAGGGGAGGAGGGGAGGAGGGGAGGAGGGGAGGAGGAGGGGAGGAGGAGGGGAGGAGGAGGAGTGGAGGAGGAGGAGTGGAGGAGGAGGAGGAGTGGAGGAGGAAGGGAGGAGGGGAGGAGGAGGAGGGGAGGAGGAGGAGGGGAGGAGGGGAGGAGGGGAGGAGGGGAGGAGGAGGGGAGGAGGAGGAGTGGAGGAGGAGGAGTGGAGGAGGAAGGGAGGAGGGGAGGAGGAGAAGTGGAGGAGGAGGAGGAGGGGAGGAGGAGGGGAGGAGGAGGAGGAGGGGAGGATGAGGAGGGGAGGAGGAGAGGGGGGTAGGAGGGGAGGAGGAGGAGGGGAGGAGGGGGGGAGGGAGGTGGGACACCAGAATTAACAGGTGCATCTTTTCTTGCAGAGTGCAGCTGAGAGCTTCACCTCTGTGCTGGAGCAGAAGTCCAAGTGGACCAAGCTCAGTAGGGACGAGACGTCTGCCCTGGCCACAGTGTTGCTGGAGAGTGTGCAGAGCTCCACCTTGGCGGCCCTTCTGAAGCCCTCAGAGAATGTCAGCCAGACGGTGCAGACGGAGCACTTAGGTAGCATGTCCCTCCTGGCAAGGTCTCACGTGACACTGATTTTGAGGGAGAGAGGTGAAAGGGAAGACACAGGGGAGGAGGAGGGGAGGAGGAGGAGAGGAGGAGGGGAGGAGGGGAGGAGGAGGAGAGGAGGAGGGGAGGAGGAGGAGAGGAGGAGGAGAGGAGGGGAAGAGGAGGAGGGGAGGAGGAGGAGAGGAGGAGGGGAGGAGGGGAGGAGGAGGGGAGGAGGAGGGGAGGAGGAGAGGAGGGGAAGAGGAGGAGGGGAGGAGGAGGTGACTTTGACAATGTATCCTCCAGAGCTTTCCCACCTGTATTTTCCTCAACTGTCCCAAATTCCTGAACTCACAGCAAAGCAAGTCTAATTATACTAAGGACTTTTCCACTTATTGAATGTCTGTGAGGGCCGGGCACTGCACCAAGGGTGGACAACTCAAGGGCCATTAACTCATTCAACAAACATTTGTGGCTGTCTACTACATACAGGGTTAGGGAATGATGGTCATTTACTGTGTGTAAATATTTGCAACTGTCCCCACTGGGCCCACAGTAGGACTGTGTTTCCTGCAATGGGGTTAGGTAGAATTTTGTGACTAATTCAGGCCATAGTTGCTGGTGTGAGACCTTCCAGAACATTTTTTCCTTCTTTCTTAGTGACTGGAAAGTGTTTCCTCTCATGTTGCTCCAATAGCTTGGGTCCCAGAGATAAGATAATAAAAAACAGGAACCCAAGTCAATTTTCAGTGGATACAAAACATTACTGAGAAATAGCTATTATTATTTTTTAATTTTTTTTTAGTTGTAGATGGACATAAATTTTATTTATTTATTTATTTATTTTTATGTGGTGCTGAGGATTGAACCCTGTGCCTCACACATGCTAGGCAAGTGCTCTACCACTGAGCCACACACCCAGGCCTAGCTATTATTTTTAATCCACCAAGACTTGGGACTGTTTGTTACTGCTGCATGACTGATCCTTTTCTGACTGATATGTGCTTGATAGCTGACCACTTGGGAACACAGTGCTGTAGATCTTTTGCAGCAGCCCCTGCAGTTCTGATCATAGTTTCTGCCTCAGTCAGTCCTTTAAATCCAGGAATTTTATTCTAATGGATCCCCAGAAGGCCATGAGTGGAAAAGAGACCTCCACCAGTAGTGAACATGAGTCCTATATTTTGGTGAGATGAGAGAGATGATAAGCAAACAGACATCTGGTATACCAGATAGGCATGGCACAATTGACAAAAATACAGCAGGATGAGGACGTCTGAGAGGATTAAGGAGCGAGAGTTGCCATTGCTATAGTGTGGACAGGGGAGTCTCGTGGGGCAGGGGCCTCGGGTAAGGGAACAGCATCAAGGTCTGGAGGAAGAACAGCTGCAGGAATACCTGGCGATTCCAAGGAACAGGAGGAGGCAGCGTTGCCTAGAAGAGGGTGGATCTGTAGGGAAAGGGGCCAGAAAGACAGAAAGAGGCAGCTTCTGTAGATGAATGTTGGAACCTAGGTTGTTGTTGGAAGGAGAGGGTAGGGCAGGCGTTGGAGAATTTGGGCGTGGTCATGGCGTTATCTGGTGTCTGTTTTGAAAAGGTACTCTGATTTTGTTTTCTTATTTTCATGGAGAGTCAATGGGATAGACCCTGCAGCTATTGCCGTGTTACTGATGAGAAATAGGAGGCCCCGCAGGTAAAGTTGTTGCTCAAGTATGCACAGCTGGGGAGTGGCAGAGGGGACCTCTGGGTCCCTCCATCCTCCTCTTTTTGTTTGTGGTGCTGGGGATGGAACCCAGGGCCTCTTGGACACCTGGTAAGTGCGGTGCCTCTGAGCCGCACCCCAGTGGCTTCCGCATTTGAGTTGTCTCCACCCCAATGCGGAACCAGACCCTGTGCACCATGCTGGGCTGGCCCGAACCCTTCTGGTCTCCCTTGACCTTGGAAAACTTGTCTGAACTTGGAGTAGCCCCAAGATCGCCCTCTGCTGCCTTCCGCCAGGACTGCAGTGTTGGCTGGCTTTTCACCTGTGAAACAAATTCCCGCAGGACACCAGCTCCCAGAGAGCAAAGCTTTGGACTCGCAGTCTTGGTGGTTTCAGCCAGTGGTCAGCTGGCCCTGTTGCTCTTGGTCCTGTGGCGTGACAGCCCATCATGGTGGGACGTGCCGTGGAAGGAGCTGCCCAGCTCCTAGCAGTTAGGAAGCAAAGTGAGAGGGAAACTCTGGGGACGGGATCCCCAAAGCTCTTTCCAGCCCCAATGACTTTCCACCGAGTCCCACCTCTTAAAGTTCCTACCACCTCCCGTAGCACCTCAGGCTGGGGCCAGGCCTTCCACACATGGGCCCTTGCAGAACCTTTTAGGTCCAAACCCAGTGGCTGACTTGAACTCCGTCTCTCTCTGATGCACCCCCATGATGGAAGGGCTCGTTTCTAAGGCTCCAGCTGGATGGCTCATTTCTTTGGTGCTACTGTCCCTCTTCACTCATCAAGGGGCTCAAGACCTTGCCCACGATGCAGTGGCCTTTCTGTTCTTTCCTTTGCACACAACTATGAATGTGTACCTTTCTTGAGCAGAAACCAAATTCTGACCCACTTTCTGGGTGACCACATGTGCTCTCTCCCTTTCTTTTTTTAGATATTGAGAGCAAAGTTATCAAGGAGGACTGCCTTGAGGAGAATGGCTTTTATCTGAAAGCCAAAGGGGATGAGATGAAGATCAGTTGCTCCATGATCAAGGAATCTAGATCCTCAGGTACGGACCCGCTCCTGAGAACCCACATGGTGCTGTGCTGCATTCTGTGCGAGTGAGTTTTCTGTTGCTGTGACCAAAAGACCTGAGGAGAACAGCTTAGAAGAGGAAAGGTTTTTCTTGGCTCTTGGTTTTAGAGGTTCAGTCCATGGTCAGCTGACTCCAAGGCAGAAACATCGTGGAAGAGCGCGGTGGCTCGGCTCATGGCAGCTGGGAAGCAGGGGCAAGAGGAGCTGGGGACAAGACAAACCCCCCAGGGCAGGCCCACAGTGGCTTATTTCCTCTGACTGGGTCCTACCTCCCAGTAGTCCAATTGGCTACCAGTCAAGTGGAAATGGACTGATCCCATGTTGAGGGCAGAGCCCTCACGATCTCAAAAGCCCCACCTCTGGAACTTGCTGCATTGGGGACCGACCACACTTCCAACCCATGAGCTTCTGGGGGACACTTCAGGTTAAAACCACAGCACATTCAATCTACAAATACCTGTGAATCACCTCCCAGGTGTCAAGACTCATGCCAGGTGGTTGAAAATCAAGAGCAGTGGAGTCAGAAGTGGCCTGTGTTCTCAGGGAAGTTGAATATTAAAAGGAAAATCCCACGATACTGGAGTGGTCAGGCCTTCTAGACCCCATATGGTAGCCACTGGCCACCTTTGGCTGAACGGTGACAAGGATGAATTGAAGTGTGCTCTAAGTGTAAGCTACACACTGTGTTTCAAAGACTTGGAACAAAAAAATAAGGATGCAAAATATCTCACTTGTAAGCCTGTGTATGGGCTTTAAAAAAATCAAATGTAATCAATACACATTTTTAACCTTTTATTTAAAAAATGGACAGAGAGTGGTGTGCATTTGTTGCATGCGGCCTGATGTTTTGCAGCATGTGTGCCTTGAGGAAGTCATACTCCAGCTGGTCCACAGGTGCACCACCTCACAGAGTCGCCGATTTTGTAGTGAAGACACTTTTTTCCACAGCCACTCTCTCAACGTTTTTCTAGGATGTGGTACGTCCTGATTAGCTGTGGTCACCGTGCTGCAGGGTAGAGTCCTTGGACTTGTCCTTCCTATCTAACATGAACATAGGGTTCTATACCACCATCCCCAGCACCCCCAGCTCTGGTGACTGCTGTCATATTCTACTTTCTACTCGAGGTCAACATTTCTTGGATTCTACAGATGAGATCACGTGGTGTTCGTCACTGTGTGCCTGGCTTATTTCACTTAACGCAACGTCTTCTGGGATTGTCCCATTGCTGCAAATGACAGGAGTTTGGAAAATGTGGTATACACAATGAAAGACTATTCAGCCATAAAAGGAGAAAAGTATCTATCTATCTATCTATCTATCTATTTATTTATTTAGTGACAAGATCTCGCTATGTTGTCCAGGCTGATCTCAAACTCATGATCCTCCTGCCTCCATCTCCTGGGTAACTGCATTACAGGTGCAGGACACCATGCCCAGTTTAAAATATATTTTTACTTTAAAAAATTTCAATTACACGTTGATATGGTAATATTTTGAGGACATTGAGTTAATATATCATTACAATTAATTAATTTACCTGTTTTTTATCTTTACTTTTAAAACTGTAAATACTGGACAACTTAAAATCGCCCACGTGGCTGTGTTTCCATTGTGCAGGTCTCATCTGTATTGGGCTTGGCAGGCTCTTCTCTGTGGGTTGTCAGTAGGTACTTTCAGCAATGTGAGCAGTAGAGTCTCAGTCACAGGTACTTAACCATCATTGTAGTGCAAGCACTCCCAGGCACAGGTACCAAGCAGACATGTTAGTCTCCTTCTCGTGCTGTGACCACGATACTTGACGAGAGCAAATTAGAGGAGGGAAAGTTTATTTGGGGCTCATAGTTCCAGAGGTTTTGTCCGTGGCCAGGTGGGGACAGGAAGCGACCCTAGAACAGCATCTCTGGAGACCACACATATTCAGAGAGAAGCCCACCAAAGAGACCCTAAAGATGGGAGGAGAACTTATTTCCCACCAAAGGCAGCATTGTCCCTTAAGAACACAAATCCAGGTTTACGGTTAAGCGTAGACACGTCTCTCCAGGTCACAGCCCCTCGGGATGTTTTGTTGTAGATGCTGTGGTTCTGATGAGGGTCACGGATCTGACCCTCACTCACCCTTCAGCCCTGAGTAACCCAGCAAGGAGCACAGAAGAGCAGTGTGTGTGTGTGTGTGTGTGTGTGTGTGTGTGTGTGTGCCTGTGTTGGGCCAGCTTCAACAGCTACCAAACCAATGATTCCTGTTTTTCTCCTTCTCTTTGGGGGGAATCTGCAGGGTCCACGGGGGTGGCTTTTGTCTCCTTTGCAAACATGGAGTCCGTCTTAGATGAGCGCTTCTTCCAGGGCCCTCAGAGCCCCCGGGCCAACTTCAAGCAGAGGCTGAGGATGAATTCTCGCATTGTTGGGGGCATCATAACCGGGGAGAAGAAGGACAACCTCTCGGAACCTGTCATCTATGTCCTGGAGAACCTTCAGGTGGCGAAGGGGGTCTCTCTTTTTATTTTGAAGTAATCATAGATTCAGTTGTAAGAAATAGTGCAGAGGAATCCCATGCACCCTGTGCTGAGTTCCCCCGTTCAGATGAGCCTCGGAAGTGTCCATTGGCATGATGCTCTTCCCTCCAGGGCCTTGAAAAACTTACTTTTTAATTGATACATTAAAACATAGTTGTACAAATTAAAGGGGTACCACTTGATGTTTCAATCCATGGAAACATCTGTAATGTTTGAATCAGGTTTTTAAATTAGACAGTGTGATGATTTTTTTCTTCACGTTTTTCATTGTTGCATCATAGTCGTGCATAATGGTGGAATCTGTCATCACTTATTCTTGTGTGTACCCAACATACCACATCATTTGACCACTGTCCCCCCCAGCACCCCATCCCCACCCCTTCCTTTCCTTTTCTTCCTCTGCTTTCCATGTGAGCCCCTGCCCCCCTCGATTTTCCTTGTCCTTCCTCCTCTGCAGCTTCCACAAGTGGGATGACTTGGTACATGCATGCCACGTGTAATGACCAAGTCGGGGTGCTCCTGATCAGCGTTCACCTCTCTCACACCTATGGTTGCTAAGTGCTGGTAACGTGGGGTTCTTCTGTGATTTTCAGACGTGTAGTAAATGTTTTGTAGACTTAGCTCATTTTTAATGGGGGACTACAGGGCAACAAACATCCACCATTTCTTGCAACTCAAGCCAATGACCCAAGCCACTGCTGGAGAAGCATCTCTCGAGGTGAGGTCGTTCTTGGGTTCTGCAGCGGCAGGGTGAGGTGTGTGAAGGAGCACAGTAGGAAGCCGCACGGCAGTGTGTTCACAGAGGCAGAAACTCTGCTCTGGAGACAGCGCATCCCTCTCCCCCTCCTCCTCTCCCCATGGAACATGTCAAGTCCTTTAGGGAGGAACTCTCGGGTGACCAGCCCTTTGCTTTTCCAGCCGAAGCAGAAGTCCGAGAGGCCCATCTGCGTGTCCTGGAGCTCAGACGTGGGGGATGGTGGGTGGACGCCGGCCGGCTGTGAGGTCCTGAAAGTTCTGGAGACACACACAGTCTGCAGCTGTGACCGGCTGGCCAACTTGGCCATCATCATGGCTCTTGAGGAGCTCCCGGTCAGTGCTGATGATGGGTACTCTGGCTCCCTGAGTGTCTGCTTCAAATCCAGCGGGAAAAACTGACGGAATGTCTTCTGGGTGTCCCCTGTGGTGTTTTGTGCGGCGGGAGGGAGCCAGGGGGTCAGAGGGATGGATGCCGGGCCTCGTCCTTTGGGAGTTCATGGTCTGGTTGGGAAACATGATGCTCAACTATAAAATCAGAAATAGTGACCCCACACAGGGCAGGCTTCGTGGTAGCCGCAGGTCTTGTTTAGGGGGCATTCCATCGTGGGCTGACTTTTAGTCTTCAGCTAATCATTCTTAGACCGTTTCACAGGCTGGGAGGTTGAGGCTCACTAGCCTGCCTCCTTGTGAGGTTAGCTATTGACGGAGCTGGTATCTGAACTGGGGTGGGGGCTGTCTGGCTCCAAACTTCTCTTTTCACTCCACTACATACATGGAGCAGAGGCTGTGCTTCAGGAATGGACAGGCGTCCACTGGGAGAGGGTGGCGGGTGCGTGAGCAGATGCGGTATGAAGGGAGCCGCAGTGAACGTGCCCATGAGGTAGAGGAAAGAGGCCGGGGTGTCCCTGTCCATCCTGCCAGAGCCGAGGGTCAGTTCCCTGCCAGAGAGGCACCAAGCTCTGGGTGGAGATTCGGTGGATCAGGACTGAAAGGAACGGATCCAGAGCAAGGTTGGCCTCCCGTCAAGTCCCATCTCTGCCACTTTAGAGCTGCATTTGCTTGGCCAAGTCAACCTCTGAGCTGAAGCCAGCTTTCTCATCTCAGAACTGAGAACGAGGAGAAAGTAATAACTCACACTTCCACGGGGTGTAAAATGTTACCGGCACATTCATAAGCTTTCTCTGAACCCTCCCCAAAAGCAGTTACTATTAATACCCTCGTTTTTACAGATCAGTAAACTGAGGCACCGAGGACTTAGGTATTTTATGCAAAATCATACAATTAGAAACTGGCAGAATTTTGATCAGTTTTCTTGGGTACTTTGTGACAATATCACACAGAAGAGGTCATGAGAGAGAGCCTGGCCTATCTTCAACTCAGAGAAAGTCATGAACTTATGAATAATGTTAAAATGAATTATGAAAAGAGGGCATAGAAGGATTTAGCTTGTCATTTCCACTCCCCGAGGTTGCTGCATCCTTGAATGTCTGGGGATCAGTTGGGGTTCAGGGGAGGCAGCAGAAACCCCTCCAGGTTTTTCAAGCAGAAAGGAATTTAACGCAGGGCATTCAAAGCCCACGCAGTCACAGAGCAGGAGGAGTTGAAGTTAGGAGGCTGATTCTTGGACTTTGGCTTCAAGGTCACCCCTATCCTGTGGCTTATTCCAGAGGTCAGAAGCAGATGTCCTCATGTCCATTCTGTCCCCATGCAATCGGGGACAGGATAGTTGGAATATGGTGTCCAGCCACGGCTCACTCCTATCTGCAGAATGCTGGCATTTCCCTCCTTTCTGCCTTCCAGAACTTTATGCATGCATCTCAGTGGGGGACCTAAGTTACACCAGGACCTTCTCCCTGAGGGATTCTGGGAAATGTAGTTTGTGGACATGCAGCCCAAATGCACAGGGTGAGCCCACTCCAGGAGAGCAGTGATGCTGAGGGTGACAGTGGACAGTATCTAGGTCATTCTGAGTGTCAGAGGGAGGAAAGGCTGAGCCCTTTCTTCCAATCCGGGATTTGGATAATTCTTCTTTCCTGCTTGGGGCATTCTTGTTCCTTGCGGAGGCCAGCGGCAGATCTCCTTTCTGGCAGGTGGCGGTCTCCTTGGAAATCATTAGCCTCGTGGGCCTGAGCCTCTCCCTGGTGTGCCTTGTCCTGGCCATTGCCACCTTCCTGCTGTGCCGTGCCATTCGCAGCCGCAACACCTCCCTCCACCTGCACCTCTGCGTGTGTCTCTTCCTGGCCAAGATTCTCTTCCTCACTGGTGTAGACAAGACGGACAACCAGGTCAAACCCCTAAGCTGTGTCCCCTTCGGCCCCTTCCTCTGCCAGTCTGTGTCTGCTCCACCCTACCCAGCTCCCTCCCTCAGGGCCTTTGCACGTGCTGGGCCCCTTCCTGCTGCCCGGCTCCCAGCTGCTCACCTAGCTGACGGCTTCCTGTGTGGCGGTCAGCTTCAGATCACTTCCCCCACCATGTCAGGAGGTGGTCCCTCCTATTCCTGTCTTGGCCAGCGGTCCTCACCTGTGGGCGTTTTGCCCCTTGGGAGACTTGGCAATGTCCAGGGATGTTTCTGACTGTCATCACAGGAGGAGGTGACACAAGGTAGTACATGAGGTGGCACAGGACAACCCTCATCCCCCAACAGAAATGAGACAACCGTGTCGTGAATGTGAACAGCACGGTGGGGTGGCCGAGGACCTGTCCTCCTGTGGCGCTCTCTGCTGCTTTCTCTCCCAGCGCGTTAAACGGTGCTAACTCCTGTGGGTGTGTCCACCTCCCTCACCGCACTGACCACAGTAGGCCAGCCCCACCTGCCACCGCACAGTAGGTGCTGGGCTTCCCTGAAGGAGCAGCTGGCTTTGTGCAGGGCCCCCTCCGTCTCCGTGGGGTGCTTAGCTTCCTGCCCCCGGGGGCTAGATGCAGGAGGCCTCCCTCAGCACTCTCAGGGCCCCCTGCCCCTTCTCTCTGTGGGGGAGCCTGACTCTGCCTGCTCTGCAGACGGGCTGTGCCATCATTGCCGGGTGCCTCCACTACCTTTTCCTGGCCTGCTTCTCCTGGACGCTGGTGGAGGCCGTGACCCTCTTCCTGATGGTCAGAAACCTGAAGGTGGTGAACTACTTCAGCTCCCACAACATCAGCATGCTGTACCTCTGTGCCTTTGGCTACGGGTTCCCAGGGCTGGTGGTGGCCATCTCTGCCAGCATGTACCTCCAGGGCTATGGGACGCATAACCGGTAAGTGACAAGGTTTCTCTTCCTGAAGACCCTACTGCCAGGTTCAGGAAGAGCAATAACTGCAGCAGTAGTCCTGCTGAGGTCAGAGCTGTTGTGCGCAGTAGCGTGGGTGGTGTACTTTACAAACCCAGGTTTCACTACTACTTGAGTGTCCCATTCCAGGGAGAGGACAGCTAGTTGGCCTGATGTGATTATTTTCCTTTTGGTGTGTGTGCGTGAGTGTGCACACATGTGTGTAGTCAGCTTTTTTGTTGCTGTGACAAAACACCTGAGAGAATCAACTTAAGGGAGAAAAGGTGCATTTTGGCTTTTGGGCTTGCAGTTTCAGAGGTTTCAGTCCATGGTGAGCTGGCTCCATTGCTTTCAGGCCTGCAGTGAGGTGGAGACCTCATGGCGGAGGGCATGGTGGAGGAAGGGTGCTAACCTCATAGCATGAGGGAGAGAGTGAGGAAGAGGAGAGAGAGGGGTACGCCTGGGACAGTACCTAGTCCCCCAGAACCCCTCCCCTCAATTAGGTTCCCCCTCCTACAGCTTCCATCTTCTTCCCCCCTTCCTTCCCGTTAAGAAACAATCACGGAATGCCCTGGTGCAGGCCAGGCTTGCTGCTGGGTGCTGGTTTATTAAAGAGAAGAACAAAACACTCAAGCCCCAAATTCTCGTGCAGTTCATAATCGAGCAGGGGCAGAAAGACCCAGACAACTAACAAGACAAGTTAGGATAGAACAGCCGCCATTTTTAACCGTGCAGCGAGCACTGATAGAGAGGGTCTAGGTTGGGATTCTTGGCTAAGGATGGTCAGGAGCAGCTCCTGCATGGAATGGGCCCCTGAGCTGAGATCTGAATGACATCAGATCTGTTGTATCCGCGGGGGTCGTGCAGAGAGGGACAAGGGACTGCAGAGGTTCCGCGCTGAGGACGTGCTTCCCAGACAGCACTAGGCCGGCATTTCAGGGACGTCTGTGCAGGTGGAAGGTCTGCAAAGCAGGCACCAGAGTCCAGAGGAACCACAAGCAACCTGCCCCATGGTGAGAGTTCTCACCTCAGTCTCACCTCCCAGCCTCCTCCATCCGAGCATGAGCAGGGACAGGAACAGCCGCACGCCAGGTCTCTGAGACAATGCTCACCCCTCCCGTTTCCCTCCACAGCTGCTGGCTCAGCACAGCCAGAGGCTTCATCTGGAGTTTTCTGGGGCCGGTGTCCGTGATCATACTGGTAAGCAAATTATTTGGTGAAGAATGTTTTGGAGCAGGAGGCAGGAGACCCGGGCGGTCAGGAAGGGCCAGGAGAGGGCAAAGGCAAGAAGGTTCCTTGCTGCCCTCAGGAGCTCTCTTGTCTCCTCGAGACCTGAGGTTTCCGAGTTAGTAATTTCTTTGACGTATGACTTTCAGGCTGGAACGCAAAAGCCTTTGGAGCAACTGCAATCTTTATGCTCCAGGGAATGGTGCAGGGTCTCCCAGGGTCTCCCAGGGTCTCCCAGGTACAGATGCAGAATGACGGGGGGCTGAAAGGACATTAAGGGCAGTGGTGGTGTCGTGGAGGAGCAGGGAGTGAGACCAGCTGAAAATGATGGGCGGCGGCAAGGGGAGGCCCGGGGTTCTGAACCCCGCCTCTGCCTCCATTCGGCCTTCACAGTGTCTGCAGATGACCTTTCCCTGGCTGACCCACAGGGCGGCTGGATTCCTTGTGTCATGTGAGCTCATTTTTGAACCATCTCCATCTTGGGAAGCCTGAGGATCTATCCCTCCAGGAGGCCTGCTCCGATGTCTAGTGGATTTGGGGAGACGTGTCCTAGTTTTCTAGAGCTCTAGACCACGGAGCAACATGGCTTTATTGCCTCCTAGTTCTGGAGACTTGAAATGGAGGGCCACACCCCTGAGAGCAGGAGGGTTCTCTTCTTCTGGGGGCCTGAGGATGGCTACCCTGGCGTGGATGGCCATCTTCTCTCCGTGTCTCCCACACGGTCTTCTCTCTCTTGTGTTTGTCTCTGTCACTAAATTTCCCCAATGGATAAGGACACACCCATTATGTAGATGGGGACCTACCCCGGTGACCTCATCTTAACTTGATGCCCCCTGTGATGTCCCTGCCTCCAAATAAGGTCCCATCCTGAGGTCCTGGGAGTCAGGGCTTCGATGCGTCTCTTGGGGGAGGAGTGATCCAATTCGCCCCGTGACAGAGAGCAACAGTGCGGAACAACTTTAAATAAACTTTGCACCCCAGCACCTCCCAGCCTCAGGAAGGCCGTGTGGACTTGAACTCACTCATGGGCGTCCAGAGTTACATCGCCTTCCTCCTCTCCTCCTGCCTACTCTTGGATTCCCCTCTCCTCTGTATGAAGAGCTAAAGGCAACAGAAAATGTCACTTTGCTCCTCTGTTTTCCAGAATTTTTTTTTTCCCCTGAGCTCACCCTTGTGAGGCGCACCCTGTGGAAGTGACCAGCATCCACAGGAGAGAACGCTCACAGGCGATTCCTTCTGAGATGGCTGTGGGGGGGCAGCCGGGGAGTCCACAGAGCTCTGCACTGGGGACAGCCTGGGGCTGGCGAGGCCGTGGGGGGGCTGCAGCCGAGTGTGGAAATGTTGAAAGGAGCTGGGCATGCCCCGAGTGGCCGTGGGCCCGGGAAACCAGGGCCCCGAGTGGCCGTGGGCCCGTGAAGCCGGGGCCGCCTGATGGGAAGCGGGTGTCCCGAGTGCTGGATAGGGGCGCTTTCTGTCTTCTGAATTGGGAGCAGGGAAGCCATGGGTATTAAGCCCTGGGGGCTGGGCTACTGCTGCCAGGGCCACCGGCTTGCTCCATTGCTTGCTAGAGACGGGGGTGGTCAGAGTTCTGGTTCCAACGATGCCAGCCGCTGACCATTTATGTGCCGATCCCTTGGCCCCTTCTGCTTGACACTGTAGATCAACTTCGTCCTCCTCACCTGGACGCTGTGCATCCTGAGGCAGAAGCTTTCCAGCGTCAACGCTGAGGTCTCCAAGCTCAGAGACACCAGGTGCGGTTCCAAAACTCCCTAAAGCTTGCTTCCCTCCTCTGCAGACGGGGGACACTAACATTTCTCGCTTTGTGTGGCTTATAATGTATTTACTGTGGTTTTAGGAACAGTGTTTCATAGAGTGCTACAAATAATGCATTCTCTGTGAGTACGCACGTGTGCATAGTCATAAGAAACAGATTCATATTATTTTACTTTTATATGTATTTTTTTGTTAATGATGTCATGGCTACTTTCCCACTTTAAACTAGAGATTCTTCTACAACATGGGTATTTTATGCTTGGCATTTTGGTGTAAGGAAGAAGCAGAACTTATTTAAATCATTCCTTATTCATGAATATAAATTATTTCTGAATTGTTTTTGCTATTATAAATGATACTACCTTGACTACCCATGTAGGTGAATCTTTGCACATTGTGGCTTTTAAATTCTACCAGTTTAAGTGTGAACTGCTTGAATCCAAGAGTAAGTTGAATCAAAATGCCTTAAATACAGGTTGCAGGTCAGCTTCCAGGAAATTCTCGTCCAGTCCCAGTAGTGCCCGTTTAGCTGCAGCATTGCCAGCACTGGGCTTACGGTCGCTTCTGCGTTTTTTGTTTTTTTTTTTCTGATTTAGTAGGTGAAGTACACCATCTCACTGTCGGGTTCCATTTTCCATCTCATGTTAGAGACGGTCATCCTCTGTGTCCCTGGACTTCCTCGCTCAGCTAGGTTCATCTTCAGATCTTGCCACAACCACACATTATCTAGACTTGATGGTCGGTGATCTTGGAATAGTCTTTTCTTCTCTCCTTGTGCATGTCTAACTCCTCTTTACCCACTGCAAAAAAAATTTAAAGTAATATAAAAGTTAAAACATAAGTAGAACAAAAATTTAAATAGTTTTCTCCATATAAAGTGAAATTCCCCACTTCAACCTTTCGGAAGAGGCTTTGGATACGTTCAGAGTTCGGCACCCACGGTGACAGCCTGCTTCCCCGGGCGTGTTCACAGCCCCTGTACCCAGGCAGCTCCGTCCCGTGAGCACTTTCCTGGGAGCCCCGGGTCTCCAGGTCTGGGCCAGGTGAAGCATTCTACTCCACCCACGTGTCCTCCTCCTGCAGGGGAGAGGCCCTGTGCACGCTGCTCTGAGGTTTGCTTTGTGCTGTGACACAGCTCATATACGGTCATCTCAGCTGACAGCAACCCACAGAGATGCGTGTTCTGTGCCGATCTCTGTTCCAAGCACCCGGCGGTGTGTCCATTCACCTTCCTACCTCTAGAGCAAGCCTTTGTATGATCCTCACTTTATCAAAGCCAGGAAACTGAGGCAAGTGAGGGTCATAACTCCCTGAGCGAGTGAAGGGATCAGTCAGAAGAGGAATGCAGGCGCCTGATCCAGACCCGGATCTTTACCCCAAATACCCGATTATTGCTCTTGTCTCATTTTTAAAAGTGGCTTGAGAACCCCTGTCTGTCTTAGGCACCCGCTATTCTGGACGTTCTGCATAATGGACCCGCACAGTGGCTGGTGTGGGTCAGCTTCTCTCTTGCAGGGCTCGCGCACTGCCTATTGTGGGTCAGAGCTCCTTCTTTTCACGGTGCAATACTACTCCACTGAATGGATATACCACATTTATTTATCCACTCATCTGTTATGTTTGGGTGGTTTCCTCCTGGGGCAGTTGGAATGGGAAATGACTGTTCAATAGCTACAGAGTTTCTCTTTTGAGATGATAAAATCAAGGTGGAGGTACAGAGTGGGGATGATTACATGAAGTTGTGAATGTACCCAGTGTCAACTAAATTGCATACTTTAAGTAGTCAAAATGGTGAACTGTATCTTAGGCAAATTTTACCTCAATAAAAGAAATGCTTCATGTCATCTTATACTATGGGTCCACAGTTCATTTAACATGTGCCATTTAGAAGGTGGGTCCTTGAGGTCTTTCAATACTGCAAATGAAACCTTGTTAAATGTACCCACACATCTTTGTACCAGGTGAACCTTAGGCGGGCTGCATTTTAACTGCCTCTAGGATCTGACTTCTCCATCTCTGAGCATGAGGATTGCAGGCCAGCTGTGTCCTCGCCAGGTGGCAGCTCAGACAGCCCTGGGAGTGCGGCCCCAGGACAGTGCCTGCCCTCTGATCACACGCCTGCAACTCTCCCCCAACAGGTTGCTGACCTTCAAAGCATTTGCCCAATTCTTCATCCTGGGCTGCCCCTGGGTGTTGGGCTTCTTCCAGATTGGACAGATGGCGAGCATCATGGCGTACCTGTTCACCATCATCAACAGCCTGCAGGGGACGTTCATCTTCGTCATCCACTGTCTGCTCAGCCGCCAGGTATGTGGCTGCAGCCCCCGTCCACACCAATCCACCCATTAGACCCCCACCTCCATGCCCCCACCTCTACCCACCAGACCTCCCACCTCCACACCCATTCACCCACCCGACCCTCCACCCCACCTCCCTCCACCCACCTCTGCCCCCCCCATCCACCCCCCTCCACCTCCATCCCTCCGCCCACCTCCGCCCACATCCACCCACCTGACGTGCCTGGGGCAGAATCTTGCTGGGTCCAGGAGCACCCATCCTCCTGTCCTCCCGTGCTGTGTCTCTGTCTCAGGTACGAGAAGAGTACAGGAGGTGGCTCACCAGGAAGACCAAGCCCAGCTCCCAGTCCCAGACCTCGGGCATCCTGCTGTCCTCCATGCCCTCCTCGTCCAAGACGGTGAGAGTCTGCTGTGCTCCACGGGCACTGGTCAGAGGGGTGGGTGCTGCGCTGTGACGCTGGGCATCACCACAGCAGGCAGCCCCAGGAGGCCAGGGCAGGGGCCAGGCTGCGTGGCCTTGAATCACGGCTCTGCCCCGCACTAGCTGAGCAACTTAAGAAAGGGTGAAATTTCGACTTGCACAGATATAAGATGAGCATGGGTTAAGGGTTTTATTCTATTCATTAATCAACAAGGGGCCCAGGTCGATGTTATAACTGGTTTTAAAAATGCCAAGAACATGATCCCTGCGATAATACAGAGACAAACGGTACAGAAATGTTCAGAAACCAGTTGCAAGAATGACAGCACAAAGAGAATTGATCACCTCTTATCACACCCCAGGAGGGTGCCAGCTTTGGCTGCATGTCACCAAGATCCAGTGGCTTAATTATACAGGAATTATTTTTCTTGATGAAGAGAGTCCAGCATTAGGTGTTGTTGAATTGCTTCTATTTCTTAGCGATGTTGTGAAAGATCTAGGGTCTGTGTGCTGGGGTGTAGCTCAGCGACACGGCAATGCTCTGCATGTGTGACGTTCCGCCAGCAGCGGGAGAGGAAGGCTTTGCATAGTTTTCCCCTTAATCATCATCACGTTGACTTTTTATCATAGCTGTCACAACTCCAGACATCACAGCTATGCTCAAGGCAAGAAGAGGAATGGGGCAGAAGCAATTCTCTTTTCTTGCTTCTCTCTTTAGCAGTGAGCAAAAACTTTCCCAGATTTTTCTTCACTTAGTTGGTTAGAACTATGTAATGTGACCATTGCTGCTTGCACAGGAATCTGAAAACAAGTGTTTGATTTATAGCTTCTAGAATGGGAGCAACCTGGGGTGGGGAGGCTGGGAATGGCTTTGGGTAGCTAGCAGTGCCTGCCAATCTGAGGGCAATGGTTTCTCAGCAGGTTTACCCTTGTCGTCTCTGCCACTATATTTATCTCCGTGCATTTTGGAAAGACCCATGGCTGTAGATACGACCTTTGTACTCACTTTCAGACTCTGAAGAAGTTTTCTCTTCTCTCTACCAGGGTTAAAGTGCTTTCCTGCTTTCTCATACACTATCCTGGAACAGCCTTTGGGAATTTTAAGTGCCTGCAGGAGCCTGGTCTGATTTCCCTTCTCTGCCTGCTATGGAGATGCAAGATCCCACCAGCTCTGAACTCTCGGGATGGGTGGGGACGGGGGTCTCATGCACTGGTGAGAATCAAGAGTTTCTGCTGCAAATTACTGTTTATCCTCTGTAACTTGCAACTCCCTGTATTTCCAGAGTTGTTGGAAATGATCGCAGTGCAAGGTAGGACTGAGGACAGGTGGCTACATTGTTTTTCTCCTGCATTGGTTGGTTCAGGGGTCTGAGTGTGGCCTCTGCATATGTCACGTGCCTGGCATAGAGCAGGTTTCAGGAAGTGACTGGTTGTCTGAGTGAGTTACCATGAGACACATGCTCTCCCTGCTTTTAAAGAAATGATCAATAAAACCTGGTGGAAGTTCCTCAGTACATAGGCAGAGGCTTCTTTCACACAGAAAATTAACAGAATTTGACTGGTGAGTGGGAGCCTTCGATGGAACAGAGTCCAGTGTTTCTTGAAGAGAAGCACTTGGTGACAACACCCTTTGGCAAATGCCTTGGTTTCCAGGGTGTCCAGGGAACCAACACCCCCTTGTTTCTGGCAGAAACTTCCCTGTGACTTGGGTAGGGTTCTCTGCTCAGAAAATTATCAGCCCTGTTCATCAAATCTTGGGTGCTTAGGGGAGAGAAGAGGGGTGAGAATTTAAATTGTAGACAACCTCCCTTCAGTGGGCACTCGAAAACCTCCCTATGCAGAGTGTGGTCCACGGACCAGCAACATCACATCACTCCAGAGCTTTGCTGGCAAAACGAGCCCCGCCTCAGACCACACCCCGGACCTACAGCTCAGAGCCTGAATTTTAACGTGACCCCAGGAGATGTGGATGAACTTGGGCATCTGAGGTGTCAGGATGTCCCTCTGCTCACCAGGCTGATAGCAGGTGTATCCTGGAAGCCGGGAGGAAAGCCTTCTCCTCTTGAATCTACGTCTCTGCACCTGGCTTCTCTTCCTTGGAAACCTTCCCTCAAAATTGCTAAATTTCTACTTTCCCTGAGACTTGGTTTAATCACGCTTCTAGTAGGAAGAGTTCTTTGCATTGGCTGGGGTAGGATGCGGTATCATCTTTGAACGACCCCACGAACCTCATGTTTTGTCACCCCGTATTGTACTTTCTCTTTTATTGGTGTGTCCAACTTAAAATGTGTCTCCAGCAGGATGGATATTTGCACATACTAGATTCTTAATAAAGATGTTGGATGACTGACTGAATGAACGGATGATCACTCTCATTCTTGAAGATGAGAACACTGAGGCTCAGAGAGGTTAAAAGCCTATCCCAAGGTCACACAGCTACAGGTGTCCGAGCTGGCTTCTGAGTTCTTGACCACAAAGCTCCTCTTCCAGACCCTTCATCCCTTCCCTTTTCTCCCTTTGCAAGATGATACTATACATTTACTTTGAGTCACCTTGGCACTTAGGACTGTAGCAATGCACTAGCTGAGAGACATCTGAGTGACATCAGGTGTTGAACTCTTTGATAACAGGAAACTCAGCAGATGGAGCCTCTGCTGTTCTGGTGGCTACAGTGCAGGAGTTTGGGTGGATCCTTTGGGCTTCATGTGATCCAGGTGGGCCTTCCTGGCTTGTGTTCAGAGTGCTCAATGTAGAGGTGACAGATATAAGGGGCATGGAAGCAGGAGATGGCATGTCACCATGGCCAGTGGTGGTAGGCTGAGTGGGTCCTGGGCTCCAAGGATGGCCTCAGCCTCCTACACCCCTTCTTCCTGCTCTGAGCCTAGGCTTGCATCTGCGGCCAGCCTTGGCCAACAGTGGGAGCAGGTGGGGCTCAGGCAGAAGTTTCAAAACCCTGTGCGCATGTGCCTGTGTGCGCGCGCTTCCCTCTCTCTGCGTCCACTCCTGCATCCTCACCTGGTGGCGAGAGCCCACCCTGTTAGGTGCAGGGCAGGCCGAACAAATGTTAGCTGCAGGATGGCCCACGCACTCAAACCCCCCTCTGTCTGGTCCTTTATCACCTGTTTGCGTCAAAGCTGAACATTCAACCCCCACTCAAGGCTGAACACTCAACCCCTCCTTGTGCCAACAAGGCAGCTTGCAGACCCAGAGGCCCCATTAGATTTGGGCTATAAAAACTCCCTCCTGCTGGGCCCTCTCTCTCTTGCTCTCTTGTTTTCTTGCTCTGTCTCTCTCTCTCTTGATCTCTCTGTCTCCCTTGCGCGCATGCTCTCCTCTCTCTCTCTCTCTCTCTCTCTCTCTCTCTCCTCTGTTGCACTGCTGCAAAAAGATCTCTTGGTCGCTCCGAGTGTTGTGGTCACTTTCCTTTCACACCCAAGCTCACCTGTGGGCGGGTGCAGGAGAGCCTGGCATTCTCCAGCTGGGCCCAGTGAGCAGCCTGGCAGCCCCACGGGGCCACCAAGATGCAGTGGCTGCGATGGTGTCTTTGCTTGGGGACACCCAGCCTCCAGTGGTTTGCTGAGAGGCAGTATTTGTAGCAACTGCGAAGGACACAGCAGGTGGCCATTGGGCTGGGGAGTCCTGCCTTTGGTAGAGGCGCTTGGAGCTAAGAGGAGGTCTCTGGCCTCATTTCCTGGGAGCCAGCAGGATGGACAGTCCATTAACCACCGTCTCCCTGACTCACAGAGGGCTTGGTCTGGCTCCACGCTGCTGTCACATGTTGGTCCAAAATGCTGTCACCTTCAGGAACTCTGGGCTTCCAAGGTAAGCTGTGACGGCAGCCACACGAAATCTTGTTCTAAAGTTTAATTGCATAGCTGTAGGGGTACCGTGTGGTGACGCAGTACGTGACCCGGTGCATAATGATCAAGTCAGGGCAGTGGCTCTTTCTCCCTCATTAAACAGCATTTTTCATTGCTGTCTGATAATTGTCTGCATTTGTACGGCACAGCGTGATCTTTTGATACATGTAGGCAAAGGGTCCTGATCAAATCTGGGTGGCTAATGTTTCCTCTTCATTAAACATTTTTAAAGAAACCTTTAAAAATTAGCATAATAATTGTACATGCTTCTGGGACACAGTAGGACTTTTTTTTTTTTTTTGACCAGTGTATCATTATACCCCAACATGGGGTTCACGGTGACACTCTCACAAACAGGGAGCACAGGGAGGTCGTTCCACCCCACAGCTCCTCTCTTGGCCCACGTCCCCCTCCACCCCTTCCTTCCTGTGGCGGCCTTTCTCTTTTCTGTCTTCATGAGATCCCTGTTTTAAAATTCCTTCCCTCTCTCTAGCTTCTGCCCATGAGAGAAACATTTGACCTTGACCTTCTGGGTCTGGCTTCTTTCACTTGGTGTGATGTTCTCCGGTTCCATCCATTGACCAGCATATGCTGTACTTTCATTCTTCCTTATGGCTGAGTAATATTCCATTGTGTATATACACCACATTTTCTTTATCCGTCATCTGTTGATGGGCACCTAGGCTGGTTCCATAACTTAGCTATTGTGAATTGTGCTTCAAGAAACATTGAAATGCAGCTTTCCCTATAGTATTCTGATTCTTAGTTATTTTGGATCAATACCGAGGAGTGGGATAGCTGGATATCATATGGTGGTTCCATTCCTAGTTTTTCAAGGAATCTCCATACTGCTTTCCAGAGGGGTTGCACTAATTTGCAGCCCCACCAGCCATGTACGAGGGTACCTTTCCCCACATCCTTGCCAGAATTTATTATTTGTATTCTTGATGATTGCCATTCTAAGCAGGGAGAGAGAAAAATCTCAGTATATTTTGATTTGCATTTCTCTGATGGCCAAATATATTGAAAAATTTTTCATGTATTTGTTGGCAATTTGTATTTTTATTCTTTTGAGAAATGTCTGTTAAGCTCATTTCCCATTTACTGATTGGGTTATTTTGTGCTGATTTTTGGAGTTCTTTATATATTCTGCATATTAATCCCCTCTCAGAGGAGCAGCTGGCAAGGATCCTCTTTCTGTAGGTCGTCTTCACACTCTTGCTTCGTTTGCTAAGCAGAAGGCTTTTGGTTTGATGCCACCCCACCTGCTGATTCTGGGTTTTATTTCTCCAGCTGTGACATTTCAGAACATGCGTACAGTGTGTACTGACCAAATCAGGGTGATTAGAGTTTTCATCTTACCACGACTTCATATCGGGAGTGTTCAGCTCCGTCTTCTAGCTCAACAACAGGCTGCCGTGAGCGCCAGTCACCCCACGGTGCTGCAGAACACCAGCACTGACCCCTCCTGACTGTGTTCTCGCACCCAGTATCCAACGTCCCCTCCCTTCTCAGTCCCCAGTAATCACTATTGTGCATCCCTCGGCTCTTTGAACACCCACACGCGAGTGAGAACCTGCAGGACCTGTCTTCTGACTCTGGCTTATTTCGCTCGCCATGATGACCTCCAGTTCCACCCATGGTGCTGCAAACCGCAGGTTCCCTTCTGCTTTACGGCTGAACAACACCCCACTGTGTGTCTATCTGCAGTTCCCATCAGCAGGCCAGCGGGTGAGTTCCTTTGAACCCTGTGATCTCAACTGTCACCACTAGAGGGGGGAAGAGGCGACAAAACGGCAAGGTTTCTCCCCTTGTGACAATGGCTGTCATAATCCAAACAATCCATGGTCCCCTCCCAACCCACAATACTTGAGAAACATTTGTCGACTGTCTCTCAGAACATTAAAGTAGGTGAAAAAATATTGAAAAATTGAAAAGTAAAGGTTTTAGGACTCAAAACAGTTTCAAATGTAAATATTTCATTCATCCTCAAACCATGATTATTAAAATGGTACCTTCCAGGTTCTAATAGAAGTTAACCCCATCAGTAATATTACAAAATCAACTTATGGAGAAAAAAATAACCATTAAAATATTATTCAGCCTTGGGTGTGGGGTGTAGGTCCAGGCAGAGTGCTTGCTGGGTTCTCTCCCCAGCGCCCCCAAATAAAATATGCTAAGCAACCTTAAAAAAGAAAGAAACCCCACCATTTGCAGGAACACAGATGAACCTAGAGACACTCTGCTGAGTGAAATGAGACAGACAGAGAGACAATGCCGCGTGGTCTCACTGCATCGCCCATCTGCAGTTCCCATCAGCAGACGTAGTGGAGGTCCCAGGAATGGAGGCAGAGCAGGGGACGGGGCGGGCAGACCCCGGGGCGGGCGTGGGTGAGAGGCACAGAGTGGAGCCAGGGTGATGAGCCCAAGGCTCCCCCATGGGGACTGCAGGTCACAATCACGCAGACTGGAATTTGCTGAGAGAGGATTGGAGGGGTTTGTCAGACACACGCACACGAGACAGCTCCAGGGGAATCGGCTACGTTGGCTTTCTTGACTGTCACCATCTTGCCTTGTGTGTCAAAACCTCATGTGATGGTTCTACTTTTAATTTTTTGAGGAACCTCCAAATATAGTTCTAGTGTTAATTTTTTGAGGAGTCTCAAAAATTGAGCAACGGCATGATACAGCAATCCTACTACTACGTATGTGGCCACAGGAATTGAAATTCACATCCCAAAGAGGCAGCTACGCACCCTCATTCACAGTATTCCAGATCCCCAGAGTCCAAGAGCCAGGGGTAGAGGCCTCCAGAAAGAAAATGTTTGAGAAGATAGTTGTTCATCCCGACTTGAACCCTACACAATATGGACGTGTTGAAACATCTCAGGGTGCCCTGGAATATGTGCACTTCAATTTTCTTTGTGTGGGTTAAAATAAATTTAAATCCATCATGGTGTGTACTTTAGGTATAAAAAATAAACAGACACATTGAAATGCATATGGGTTTACCTCAGGTTCTGTAATGACTGGGAGGTCACTGTCAGGCCTTGGGTTGGGGTAGACGTTCCTGCGTGGATTTTGGTATTTTAGACTATTGCCTTGGCAGAGAATCTGTTCAGTACTCATTTTTTGGTCTCCTTAAACTTTGCGGCTGGGGGTCCTGGTGCCTTGTTCCTGCCCCTGTCGTATATCTCCAGGCGGATCTGCAGTCTCTTTCCCAGAAAACACAGCATCTTGGCATTGCTTACTCACCACCCGCTGCTGTTAGTCTCTGTCCCACCTGCGATGTGCAGGACGGGCAAAGGGAAACTCTGCTGTCAGAGCAGAAGTCCTCGCGGGGTGGCTCAGGCAGGTGTGCTGGGTTGGTCTGGAATTTTCTTTTCCTACTTGTCATGACATGAACGCCTTTTCAACTCCTCAAGCCTTCTAGGGCGCTACTTTCTGGATGGCTTCAGGGTCCTCAAAGTCCAAACATCATTATGTATTTCACCA